GAGAACGATTTTGATTTGCATTACTTACTGCATCTTAAATCCAATTTAATTTGATCCCAAAGGCGACATGGAGGATCAAATTACCTTTCCGAGCATCTTTATTACAAAATGCATCAAAACGATCTATCCTTATTGGGTGACCATTCATACTGAACCAAAACCGGAAGGAGGCCTGTTCCCTCTCATGTTCGCTTTCCCTGCGACCTCAAAGCAACAATATAATACCACGAGGTAAATTCCCACGAACGCGAAAAGACAACGTATTTCCTTCGCAGCAATTGTTGAACCGATCAGGAAATTTGGTTACTGGCACAGTGATTTTCAAGTCAAGCAACTCCTTTTGTGCCTGATTTACCAAAACAGCAGAGAGACCATTTAAATATTAGAGAATCCTAAAATTTTCTCAAGAAATTCATCAATTCAATACATTCAAAGTTCAACCATAGTTTTATGGATTGTTGTCTTGCACAGGCGAATTGTCTGGTTGGCGAAACTGACTTAATTTAATTATATTAACGTTTGAAACGGCAAAAGAAAGAAAGAATAGATCGTAAACAAAACAAAGAACGAAAGTAGAGAAGATAGCACGTTCTAGTTGAAGGAAAAGAAAAGAAAAAAGAAAACAATTGGAGAGGAAGAAGACGATTGTGAAGCAGAGGACCAGAGAAGGACACATATGGGCTCTATCGCTTGGTCTTCTTAAAAAAATCTTCCCTTCCCTCACAAGCGATGGTCTCTACTGATCTCAGTTTCGCAAGCCATCATGTCTCTTACTCACTCATCGATTTCCCTCGGTTGCTAATCCTTTCGCCATCATTCTTGACTTCTCAATATTGCTCTATCTCATGGTTACGCTCGTCATGGGCAGTCGTTTTCTCACGTTTTCTTTTTCCTTTACGCCATCACTGTCTCCAAAGCTGTAAAACTAATTTAGACTTCTTTCACCCTACATTCAAAGCTTGTGGTCTCTTTACTGGATGGAGAAGAATAACCCAATAAGCCGCTCAATACCTGAGATATAACTGATTCGTATGGGGTTAGATCAGATCACGCCGAGTTGCAAATCCCTCGATTCAAGCAATGAATCAGACGAGGCAAATGGGATATTTGATGGTTTCCGGTCAGTCCATCCGATCTGGTTTTGCATACATTCATACATACATATAGATATATATATATATATATCTAGTCTTTGTCTGCAGTGGTTGGGTTCGGCAATAATAAGGGTTATGTCTCAATCAACTTGTGTATTTTTCTGGCCAACTTAATTAGTTAATCGTTGTTTTTAGGCCTTGGCCAAAAAACAAATACAAAATCTTTTTTGGGGGGCTGGATAAGATCAAAAGAAAGGACTCGTGATGATAGCCGTCTTTGTGGCAGTGGTTGGATTAGAAACTGATCAACATATACACGACTTGTTTCGTGGGATCGCATCTTTACAGGCCCCCAGAACTAATCAGTGAAATTTCGGCTTAATACCAACACTATTACTGTAACTTCCATGGTGAAACAAGAAACTATATCTAACCTTGAAGGTAATTAAGGCGTCACCATAAAGAATATTCTATTTATTCCTATATTCCCTACAGTTCTGGCCTATTATAAGTCATTTTTAATTGATTATACATATTTAAAAAAACACTGAAAAGCATTAATCTTGTTATAAAATTTTAATAATTTTCAATGTTATACATATAAACTACACTAAACTTCAACATCATATAGATTTCTACTCTCTTACTATCCTCATTAAATATGAGTAAATATGAAAAAAACTTAATACTCCTAAAAACTGTCAAATATCTTGAGGAAAAAAAAGGATTAAAAGCATCTTTTAGAAGATGCCCTCTACATAAAACCGGAAGGAGCATTCATAAATTCTTTATTATTTTCATTTGTATCCAGTGCCACATGTAACTAACAAGTGGCTCACAATTATTTGATAGCTAATGATACGAAGATCTCCAAACAAGATTGCTACTTGGAAAAACCATCTTTCACCTGTAGCATGAATAACTATTTTGCTGTTATTCAGGAGGTGTTTGGATGAGACCAAACTATGGTTTAGAAAATAGCTTCTAGAAAATAGATTCTTAGAAGAATAGATTTTGTGAAAAATAAATTTTGTGAAAAAATGATTCTAATAAAGTAAGAGGATTTGGATAGTTATTATCATAAGTACTTTTTATATGTGCAAATTATCAAAAACGATATAAGTTAATATGATAATTATATGAAAGATAGATTTTATATTATATTTTAATTTCAAGAAATAAATTTGTTAATAATATATTTTTGTCCAACATAATTAATAATATACAAGAAAATATAATTAATAAATAATTAATATGTATATATATTTATAAAACATAAGATTAAATATGTTTATAAAAAAATAATTATTTTTTTGCTAACAGAAAAATTTTAATATTCTTTAAATATTTTAAACATGAAATCCCATAATATTTTTTTATAACTAATTTTTGTAACAACATACTACCTCCGATCTTTAATATAATTAATTAATTGTTACTACGAGTATTTATATTTATAAAATATAAGATTAAAAATATTTTTGAAGAAGATGAATAATTTTTTGTGAACAGAAAATTATTAATTTTCTGTGAAGATTATAAATATGAAATGGCATATATTTTTTCATAAAATTGAATAAACATGCATTAAAAACAATTTATTAATTATTAAAGTAATAATCGTCGTGAGAATATAAGGTATAACATTAATAAAAAATATAAATAAACAAGTGTCATAATAATTAAGATATTGCATTGATATATAGCATTTGTAATATGTTTTTTTATAAACTATATATTACAATCTATGATAAAAGGAAATAAATAAGATATGACTACTATCCTTGTATGTAATTAACAAGTTCATCTCTTATATATGCTGTCACGAACCCAAGCCATGTAAGATGATATTATATTGATGAATGTATATGTGAAAATCCAACTCCATCATCATCTTCTTGTGCATAAGTACTTTCTTCTTCAAACTAAATGAATCTAGGAACAATCATAGGCTCGTTTGACACAATTAATAGATGGTTAATGGGTAGTACTCAATGACAATAATTCACAAGCTTACTAGTACCCATAATATCAATTTATATCATTTATCAAAAAACATATTCATTTTCAAAATTCTTGCATGCCATAGTTGAGTATACAAAGAGGTCATATACTAATTAAAGACCTACAATTAAATACTCCAACTCAATTCATTTAAATGCACACACAAATCATCACAAGCATTTGTCACCCTGATCTTATATCACAAGTATTCTATATTGACAAACGATCAGAACCTTTTACACTTGAATTGCCCTGACAGTATCACAATTCACATCTAAACAAAGTTGAATGTGCAACACCAAATGAGCAGGCCCCAAAAACATTCATATTTCAAGCATATGTAACTAAAATGAACATGCTCCAAAAACACTCCATAAATCCTTAATTAATAGTTTCAAACATATCACGCCTTTCCCCTGACATCACTCTACCACAGTCAAAATCATTTCAATTTGCCCAAAATGTGTAGTTTGCACACTTGTACGTCACAAATATAGCAGAATTCAATTAATATAAGATGTATATTTTTAACCAGAGTTAAAGCAAGATGCGATTGTAGTGCACGTTTTTATACATTTTCCATATTATATATATATATATATATATATATATCTTAGTGGAGGTTTAGAATTCACCATCTTACCACTTTATAATTAATTAGCTAAGACCAAGAACTCTTCCAAATTATCATCTGGGCTCTTTTTTTTACTAGTATTGTTCATAATTTAGTGAACCATGGCGCTCAAATGAAACATTTTAATCAGGAGTTCAGAATAGAGGAAAAATATTCAGAACATATTGCTCAGATAGTGTGGTCAATGTTTTTCGAATCAAAATAATCTCAAGGTACACAGCAGAATGCACAGGCTTTTATAGAAATAAAATTCTTGCACATCAATAGCCCAAACATTTGCAATTCATAAATGTTTTTCTCTATTAATAATTGTCATTCATAAACCTGATTCAATATAATATCACAAAACAAATTTTTGTGAATAATATCAAAGGCTCTCTTTGTCAAGTATCCATCACGGTCAAGATCAAAACTTTTAATCCTCCCTTTTAGCTCATACGTGAGACTAATAACACATTTGAAATAGACTACCCATTTTATAGAGTAGACTATATTTACACAAAATCAAATTGATGCAATGCATGAGTAAAGAAAATGATTGTTCAAGAGGAGAGACGTTACCTACGCGACGGATCTGGGCACCTCCACCTCACTAAAGAATGATCGCACAAAGTGAAGAATGCAGACTACACACCAACGGTGGATGGATCGGACAACCCAATGTGTGATCTTGCTCTTTCAAGCCAACAAACACCTCACCAATGCCTCTTCTTGCGAACCGAGGACACAAATTGCACCACCAGGGACAGCGTCTGTCAAGCGAGCAAGAAACGAGCAAGGAAAAAGGAGAAAAAAAAGTAAGGCTTTGATTTCAATGGAGGGGCATTCTTGCCTGGATACCATTGCCCACCCTCTCACACTTGTAATGATTACACCAACAAAGCCTAGAAGCGAAATGTTTTCGCTTTCTACAAAACCATGGTTTTGAAAGCTAAAACTGTGTGTGTTTGGAAACACCCAGAAGTGCTTTTGAAAAGCACTTTTCCGCAAATCAAGACAAACTCTTTCATATATTTGCTTCGTAGACTGTAAAATCACTTTTGAAACTATGGTTTCAACTCAAACCATGGTTTTTTTAAATGTTGAGGTGTTTGGATGGTTTTGGGCCCAAACCAATTGTCCTGCAATACATGAAAGGGAAAGTGACATTAATTGGGGAAAAAAAAAAGAAGAAAGAAAAACAGAGAGAGAGAGAGAGTCCATGGAACGACAATTGGTACGTAGAAAGAAGAGGCTCACTTTGGCCCTTTCTTTGTGTTACTGATTTTTCATTTATCAGTTCTGAGGAGCTTCTTGGGTGGTTCACAATTAGGAGGGGAAGTCATTGCTCTTTGATTCAGTGATGCTGTTGAAGCATGAGAAGACTTGAACTGCACATTCGCCATGTTTGTTTCCTCGTAGACATAAACTCCCCACTTAACTATAGAGTCACTCATAACTTGTAGTTCCACGTCATTCCAATCCAACCCCATATACTTGTTGAGACGCTTTTGCTCTTCTTTCGTAGAGTGCTGAAAGCAGTCAACTAATAACAAACTACCTTGTCGAGCGTGAACATGCCATGTTTTACAAGGGTCTTTTTTAAATGCATCAAAATCAGGTTTAATTACTTGGAGACCGTTAATACTCATAAAAATTGGGAGGATCTGTTCCCTTCTCCTGTTCGCATTCCACTCGACCTCAAATGCAAGAATAGCACGAGGTAAATTCCCACGAACGCGAAAAGACAACGTGCCTCCTTCACCGCAATGGTTGAACCAATCAGGAATTGTTGTTGCTGGCACATTGATTAGCAAGGCAAGCAACTCCTTTTTTGCCTGATTTACCAAAACAGCAGACAGACTAGTTAAATATTAGAGAATGCTAAAATTTTCTCAAGAAATTCATCCTTCAATACATTTAAAGTTCACCCACAGTTTTATGGGTTGTTATCTCGCACAGGCAAAGTGTTTGGCTGGCGAGACTGACTTAATTTGATTATATTAACGTTTGAAATGGCAAAAGAAAGAGAGAATAGATCCAAAAGAACGAGAAAAACCTGAGAATATAAGTTGTCCAATGATTCTGCGGTTAATGATGTGCAATTCGTTGCATCTATGTAATTCAGCTTTGATGGCAACTCTGGTATGTCTCTTAGCCTCCGGCAGTCAATCACATCTAGCCGCCGCAGCTCAGCACAATCTTTAATGCACTTAGGGAGAGACGCAAAGTCATTCCATGATACATATAACTCTCGCAAATTTCGAAAACAATTCAGAATTAGGTGAAGTTCTTCATCCAACAGACCACAATTCTCGAGACTCAAATACTTCACAGAACACTTGCTGATAATTGGTTGGCTATCTTGCATTAACTTCATCCAAGATTTTCTGTTACGAGGATGAACGCCTCCGCAACCAAGCTTCTCAAGATTTGGCAACATGAATAAGCTGGTTGGAGGTTCTCTAAGACTTCTGCAGGAGTACGCGCCTAAATGTCGAAGCCCCGAAAGATTTCCAATGGACGGTGGGAGCTCCTTAATAGCAGTGCAACTTATTGACATGTAGCCTAGTGCATCCATCTTTCCCGCTACATGCGGGAAGTACTCAAGACTCGTGCATCCTCTAAAACTAAGCCATTCAAGTGATGCCATCTTGACTTCACGTGGAAAAATGGAAAGTTTGGTGCATTTTCCAACATCTAATTTGATCAGCTTAGAGAGGGATCCCAATGAATCATGGATTTTTATCAGATTGTGACAGCGGTGCAAATCCAATATTCGTAAACATTGACATTGAGCCATATCAGGTACTTCAGTTATGAATTGACAAAATGAAAAATCCAAATGTGCCACATAGCTAGTAAAAATCTGCAAAACAAATGCAATACTATTTAATTAGATTGTCCAATTACTAAAACTATGCAAATCCCTATGGATCATCTAGTTTAAAGTCAGATAGTTCAAATTTTATTGTAATTTTTCATAATATTTATTTTAATAGATGCAAATTTTTCCAACGGTCTAAATCTTTTCAGACCACCACGTCCACCTTGAAATTTTCATGGCGAGTGTTAGAAATTTGTTTCACTTGAAACATTTTCTAGACAGCAATGTTTCAAAAACCATACTGAATTAATTGTTAATTATTCATAGAATATGGGGAATGTGCTTTATAATTATTATTCAAAAATATATTAAAGCATCTGCTTTCAAAATATAAAAGACATTTGTAGGTTTTTGAAACATATATATGAGATAACTCTAAAACAATATAGACTATTCAATTTTACAACAACTGTGTTAGACTTATTTAAATCAGAATCATAACGGAGCATGATTATTCTTGATTCTAAGATGAAAATTTACAGCTAAAGAAATTTGGTAGGCCAACAAGAAAAAGAGAAAGAAATTTGACTGAAAAACAACTACAAAGAATTATTTGAAAAAGTACCTTCAGTGGTTCTTCTAGTATAAAAGAACTTTCAGGTAACTTCAAGAAAATTAGTTCTGAAGGAGAAAAATCTTTTGGCAAAGCTGCCAAAGGATATCCCTCCCATTCAAGCCACCTTAAATTATTGGGAAGATAGGTGGGGCCAGTTGAAAGTTGGACATTTCGAATGACAAGAATTCTAAGATTATTCATCTTCTCAAAGGTCATACCACTCCACTTTACTTTTTCTTGTTGAGGAGGATCAAGCATTATTCCTTCAATATTATTGCATCCCTGTAATGAAGATTAAGAGAAGTATCATTAGTAGATATTGCCATATAAATATATGTAACAATAAGTCTGATGCATACATTTTTGTATAAAGAGACTGATATGGTTTAGATTCTTACTAAGTTTTCATGCAATACTCTAAGAACGTCTTCATAATACCATAATCTGCTGCGCTTTTCCGGATGTAATGGTGCCTCTTGTCTGACGATCTCTCTTCCCATTTGTCGTATTAGATCGTGCATAAAAAAATAATCTTCACCAGCAACTGAAGTTATCAGGGATTTATCGACAAGAAGTTCAAAATAAAACCTAGCACCAAAATCACAAGCTTCTACTATTTCTTTGATAGATCTCATCATCTCCTCGTTAATAAAACAAGCAATATCTAGGAAAATACGCTTAGCACCGGCCTGTAAGCAATCATAGCTTATCTTTAGAATTTCATGAATTGTTCTTTCTGGGATTCTTTCATATTGTTCCAATATAGGCTTCCATTCCTGTAAATTTTTATTTGCCAAATTGGAGCCTATGACTGTTAATGCCAGAGGAAGGCCTTGTGCATAACTTATTGCACGACTAGACATATCTTGATAGGTTATTGGAGGTTGGTTCTCATGGAAGGCATGCCAACAAAAGAGCTCACAAGAGTCATACTCATTCAGCTTCATCATTTCAAATGTTTTTTTAACATTGTGTGCAGCTAGCATTTGCTTATTTCTTGTTGTTATAATAACTTTGCTTCCAAAACCAAACCAGTCACACCCTCCCGCAAGTTGTTCTAACTGTTCAACCTCATCAACATCATCAAGAACCAAAAGAACCCTTTTATGAGAAAGCCTATGTTTTATTCTTGATATTCCTTTATCAACACTCCCAATCATCGTAATTTTCCCCAAGAATCTCTGATAGAAGTTTCTGTTGGAGGCGAACGATGCCCTGGTATTTCTTTGTTGCTTCTTTGACATCAAACAAAAAACATGCACCTTCAAATTGGTAAAACATTAAATTATAGACCGATTTTACGAGGGTTGTTTTGCCAATTCCTCCAATTCCATGAATGCCCAACATGCAAACCCTATCACTGGATTGATTTAAAAGTGAAATCACTTCTTCCACACGAGGCTCAAGTCCAACCATGTACCCAATGTTATGTAATTGTTTAGGTGGCAACATAGCATATGCATCTTTAACAATCCTTTCCATAAACCCGATTTCGTTCCTACAAAACAGCAAATTCTCTTGTATTACAAATATGATTCATCCATATAAAATGTTTGTCATTGTTTTTTTTTTTTTGTCATATATTTTTATATGCATTCTTATTTTGATTTATAAAATATGAATGATCTCAAAATCAATTAGCTCTCTCAAATTTGTTATCGCTTCACTGTGTAAATAAAGAGAATCAGGCGTAAAGAAAAATAAATCTAAAAGAATAAAATTGGAAAAAAAATTAAAATTTTTAAATATTAATATTAAATAAAAATTCGAGGTCAACTTGAAATATAAAATCTGTATCAAGCCATATAAACATTCATTCTTTAGATTCCATACAATATATAAGGAAACATTTTGACTTTGTTCATAATTCTAATAATGGACTTTGTAGTCATATATAGTTTGTGTAGACATATGAAAAATAAAGACACTAAGGATCTGTTTGGTACGAGAAAAATGAAGGGATGAAAAATTTTAATGAAATTGATTTTAAAAAATTGATGAAGTGAGATTAAAATTCTTTTATCTCACATCTTCTCTTTATCAAAATTTTATAATCCCACTTCCGTAATTTTACGGTTGAAAACCCTATCAACAATGCCTTTGAAAAAAAAACTCATAAACTATAAAATTATTTTCAGAACCAAAAAAAATTTTAAAATACTCAAGGAAAAATTTAAGGGCCTGTATGTTCATGTTTTTAAATTTTTGTTCTCAAAACAATTTTATAATTTTTTTAAAATTAAGTTTTGGAAACGAAAAACAAACCAAAATTGTTTGGATAATTGTTCCAAAAAATTACATTAGAAAATAAACGTATTGAAATTGGAGGGTAAAACTTCAATAAGAACTCAAGTCCTCAAATGGGAAAAAAAATTGAGGGAGAAAAAAGGGTTTCCTAATTTTGTCAAATAGAAAATAAGAAATGGAAAAACATAAACAAGAAAACAACTAAAAATTATTTTTTTTGCTTTTAAAAACACTTAAATAAAAACGTATTATCAAACAAGTTTTTCTTTAAAAACAACGAACTTTTTTCAAAATAAGAAAACAAATAAGGCCTAAGACTAGTAGATTAATCAAGGGTACTTTTTTTATTTAAGTCGTAAAATTTTGATCCTTAAGGTGCATTGAAATTCCATAATTATTTAGAAATTAACTGATATTAATTGTCTAGTGACAAGGAATATTGAAATTCTCCCAATAATAATTCTTGAGGAATCTAGAGGAGCAACGGTCACTGGTAAAAATTCCAAATATCTTCAACAGTAGTTTGTTATATCATGTCATGACTAACCAATAAAATAATAAAGAATTCGAAAAGTTCATTAGCAGCAATTTGAAAATAGAATAATCATACGTACCTATCTTCAAAAATCCAGGCCTTTGATAAAGAAGCTGCTTCTGACAAAGCAGATTTCCATTTCTGCACTTTCTCTGGATCATCTCTGAATATATCTTCATGAGCAGCCATGGCTGTTGCAAAGCCGTCTCTCTGATACTGAACAGCCATTGGATCCACCTTGTAAAAGATGGGCATAACCACCTGGTTCTTCTCATTCTTACATCGAATTATATGGGCAAGTTCATCCAAGCACCATGTAGAAGTAGCGTAGTTGCTGGAGAATAGAATAATGGAAATCCTCGATCTGTCAATGGCTTTAAGAAGCGTAGGTGAAATCTTTTCCCCTTTGCCAAGCTTCTTGTCATCAATGAAAACATTGATTCCCTTACGTCGCAAAGCATTGTAGAGAGGCACAGCAAAGGAATGGCGAGTATCTTCGCCTCTAAAACTCAAAAAAACATCAAATCTGTATTTGGGTTTGCCGACGAAACTATGGGATGAAACTTGAATAGCCATGGCTACAATAATCTGTGGATGCTACCAAGGGATTGGGATTTGAATAATACTTTAACGAGGCATTTATACAAAAGTGGTGAAGCAGCGAAAAGGACAACACCGCGTTTGATCCTCCATTAACAAATTTCTCCGAAAGTTGGAATTTGGAAAGTTTAGTCAAAGCGTGAGTGTTTCTTTTTTCAAATCCCCCCAAAAGGAAAATGTGGAGGAAGGGGCGTCATTATTATTTTCTTACAAATAAGAAATGGATTGCTGTAGCACACAATATATAGAAACTTTTACATTCTGTATAATTACTATGTTCCCTTTGAAAGTAAAGTACATATCATGAACGCGTTAGGTTGGATGGATTAATAGGTCTCTCTATTTGAGTCAGATTAATGTTCTAATTTGAGTTATCAGATTATCATACCAAAAATAAAGGTATATATATACTGCCTCCAGTTATAAGATAAACTAGTTATAAGATCTATTTTAACTAGATCTTATATTAAGAATAAGAGGTAGTATATCTTTCTCATGGATACATGGACGACTTAAAAAGTTTTTTGAAAGTTGTACCTATTCTTCTAATATCTCAACTGTATCAAAATACTAAAATGTGAAATATATGAATATATGAATATAATAAAAATATGAAGAAAAAAAAAAAACGTTCTACTCATATGAACTTTACTTAAACTAAGTGTCTAGAGGTTTGAAGATATATGTATGACCCAATTTAGTCAGGAAAGGTCCACTTTTTTTTCCCAAGTACCCAAGTGTGACCATACTGATATTTTGCCGATGAAATATGCTCTTCACAATTCACCGGGGAAAAAAAAAAACAGCTTAAGACTAGTTTTTCTTTTTATGGGCTTTTGGATAATTTGTGTGCATAACAGTCATTCCCATGCAATCAACCAGAAAATATAGAACGTGAATGTCTTAGGAAATCAACTGCTCGGTGTTACACCATCTAATGTAATCGTCTTTTAACATTTTTATTTGGTTTGCAATAATTGCATCAACCTTGAATATTTGATTATTAAAAAAATAAAACAGAAAAAGAAAAAGAAGACCTAAACCATTTTGTGCGGCCTTGAATATTTAAGAATGACTTGACCGTAATTTTGTCGGATGTCCCATGCAACTTTTCTGTCCATTTGTTAGAAAATTCCTCACCCAAATTTCTCTCCAACTTTTCTGTCCTCCTTCCATCAACATTTCTTCCCGTCCAAACGGATGGTCAAGGACGCTACTTTCCATGAAATTTTGGTGAGGAATTTTCTACCAGAAGTGAGTAGGCTTGGAATGTTTTAGAATGACGTGACGCGGATGCGGGAAGTCATCTACAGGAGTCCCAGCTCAAATAAAATCAAACAAGAAGTAAACGGCGACAGTCATTGCCTAATACTTCCTCGAATCTTCCTTATCTTTAATATATAAGAGTTAGATAATTAATTTAAGAGTATTAAAAAAATTAATTAATTAAGTTAATTATTTATAACAGATATGTATGGGCTTTCTTAATGAATTATCTTATTTAATTATGCATATTGAAACTATATCTACTTAGTGGATACTCCTTACAATCAATAAGAATGTTTTAAAAAAATTATAAATTTAAGAAACAAAATAAACTAAGATTTTATATTTAAGGTTGAATTCAATTCCCAAAAAAGTTTTTATATTAAAAATAGGAGGTAAACTCTCTGGAGGTTTTCCTTCAATATTGCTGGATGATTCCATTAGATTGTCTTCAAATATAATATAAGACATTAATTTATTTTTTCTTCTAAATTTATAATTTTTTTCTAAACGTATTCTTATTAATTATAATGGGTTGCCCTTCAAAAAAATAATTTAAATAATTCACATGATTAAATCGAATAGTTTAGGAAAACTAACACATATCAGTTATAAATAAACAACTTAACTACTTCATTTTCTCTCCCTAGTATAAGGGTCTTATATTTAAGACTGGAGGAGTAGTATTTTTTTCTCATGGGAAAAATTAAAACACAATACTGAAATGGAGATGCAAATGGCCCCAGTGTCATTTTTTTAAAGTTATTTTAAAATTTAAAATTATTTTTAATTATAAATTAGACTGATTATCTTGTTATTAATGATTCAAAATATTTTTATAAAGTAAAAAATTGAAATCACCTGTCTTGCTATAATATTTATTAAATAAATTAAACATGAATATTTTAATATATTTTTATACTAGCTAGCTGGATAGAAGTATTAAGGCCCTTTGACTTTTCTCTATTCCTAAATTATTTTCTTCCAATCATGGAAATGAAACAGAATGTTTAATTTAACCCTTGTCATTTCATATTAAATATAAATGTCGCACCCCAATTAGAACTTTGGTTTCGTTTTAAAATAATGCCAAAATATACAAATAGCTGAGCCGGCCGATGGGAATTAACGAACAGAGCCGCATATAATTTAGTTCTTGTGTTTTTAAAAAAAAATGAAATTATATATCTAAGAAAGATAGGGACTAAGTTATAAAATAGTTAAAAATTAAAAACTATAGGGATCAAGTTGTATTGAGTAAAAATCCAGAAATTGAGTCACAACCGAGTCAAAATTATAGGGATTGAGTTGCACCAAGTCAAAACGTATGGACTGAGTTACAAACAAATTAAAATTATAAAAAATAAAAAATTAATTTTTTTCTTTTTACCTTTTACTCTCAGAATTTAAGAGAGATCATATTTATCTTACCAAAAAAAAATAAAAAGCATTTTAAGACTAGTTTTTAAAAATGAGCTCTCACTTTCTATTTATGTTCATAACAATCATTAAAATGCGTTGAACCAGAAATTGTAAGGCGTGTTGGTAAACTAAGTGGTATGTATTACACCATTTAATGTAGTCATCTTTTTTCAATTATATTTTTATTTGCTTTGGAACAATTGCCTCAACATTCAACTGTTAATTATTTAAAAAAAGCAATAAAGCAGAAAATTAAAAGAAAAAGATGGCCTAACCATTTGTGCCCTACTCAACAGTGGATTGACACATCCATAGTAAAAAAAATCAGATCGAACTAACCGGCTCAATCGAAAAATTGACTAGTGGTCCGGTCTGGTTAGAGTGTTGGACTGGTCAGAAATTAAACTAGTATCAACCTAGTCAAACTGGGTGAAAACAAGTCAAAGCTATGGTGTCATCCAATTAAACCAATATCAACCTGATCAAATCGGCTAGTGAGCCAATGCACATTTCCGTGCCTCCATGCCTTTATTTTTAAAGTTGGAGCCCATTGCTTTCAAAGCCGAAGGAAGGCCTTGTGCATAACTCACCATATGGTTGGAGATTCCTTCATACTCCACTGGAGGTTTGTCCAAGTGGAAGGCATATCGAGAGAAAAGCTCAAGAGAGTCATTGTTATTTAGCTCCTTCATTCCATATTCATCAATATATATGACCATCAATCAGTAATTGATTATTTCTTGTTGTCACGATGACTTTACTGCCATTTCCAAACCAATGACGACCTCCCACCAGTTGTTCTAATTGTTCCATCTCATCTATGTCTTCAAGAACAAGAAGAACCCTTCTAAGACATAGCCTCTGCTTTATCTTAGAGATCCCTTCTTCAACACTTCTAAACTTGATCTTTTTCTTCTCATCAAGAATCTCTGATAGAAGCGTCTTTTGAAGACGTACCATGCCTTTGCTCCCTTTAGGAGCTGTTCTGATGTCAGCAAGAAAACAAGCCTCTTCAAATTGGTGGACAACTGAATTATATACAGCCTTGGCAAGTGTCGTTTTGCCAACTCCTTCAGTCCCATGAATTCCTAAAATAGACACAGTATCAAGAAGTGACGTCACATCTTTTATGCAAGCATCGAGTCCAACTATGTGCTCCACAATATGTAAGCGTTTAGGCGGTAACTTGGAAAATGCCTCTTCAACAATCTTCTCAACAAAGTCATATTCAGATCTACACTTGAATGCATTGACCCTTCTTTAACACCATGAAGTTTAAAGGGTAAATTAAGTCATTTCTTTTTCAATATTTCATCATATAAAATAAAACGTAGTAAGCAAATATGAAAACAAAAGCTAAGAGTTAAAAATATAAAACGTAGTTTGTAGTCAGTAAGTCATACTAATAGTTGGTAGACATGTAAGGGTTTCAGCGTACTCACACATACAATTATACTTTAGTCTTCATAATTCACTTAGCAGATCCAACTAGTCTCCTTGTGTTAACGAGTTGATACTGTAACTCAATATTTTAACTGGTTTTCCAAAGCTTATATCAGTCCTCTATATAATATTCTATCTTCGATATCCTCATCCCTCAAGTCCTTTAAGGTGAATAAGCAGTATTTTTTTGAAAAATTAAAATCAAGCGTTCAAATTTCTAAATGTTTAATTGACACAATACACATCTTTAAGAACCATAACAACAATTTACTCGATTTTTATCAGAATTATGAAATTAAATTGCTCTTCATTTCAGGGAAAGAGACACAAAAATAACACTTAAACTGGAAAATCCTAAAATGGTCACTTGAATTTGTAAAATCCCAATTTAGAGATAAGTGACTAATTTGTTACTTATAAATTTATTGAAATAACCAAATTACCCTTTATTTTTTTTTATTGTTTTTAAAAAACCAATGCCTCTTATTTGTCGGCCGGCCGCTGGAGCTCTAGTGATGGTGGCAGCTACATTCATTGGAGCTTCGGCAGCTAGCCAATAATCAGCCACTGAAGTTCCCGCAGCCAGCAACAATTTTTTAAAATTTTTTTTACAACTTCAATAAAATGATTAACAAGTTTTGTAATGCTATTAACAAGTTTAGTATAGCAGTTAAAAAATTCAAAAAGTAGTATTTTTACAATTTTAATAATGTCATTAACGAGTTCCGTAATTCTATTAACAAGTTCGGTATATCATGTAATAACAAGTTTTCTAAAAAATACAAAAAGTGATAATTTTACAACTTTGTAACTACTTTTTTTGAAAATTTTTACAATTTCAGTAAAACGACTAATAAGTTTTGTAACTCTATTAACAAGTTCAGTATAGCAATTAATAATAGTTTTTCCAGAAAAATAAAAAAGTAGCACCTTTACAACTTCAGTAATGCCGTTAATAAATTTCGTAACTCTACTAACAAGTTCGATATAGCATTTAACAATAGGTTTTCTGAAAAATTTAAAAAGTGGCATTTTTATAATTCTAGTAACACGGTTAATAAGTCATGTAACGATATTAATAACTCTCATAAAGATTGATGTTTTTAATATTAACTTCCTATGAAAGTTGTACAGTAAAATTTTTTCACTTATTAGACAGCCATTATGATCATGAGAGTTGATTCAGGAAAACATCGTAATGATTGGAAGTTGATTCGCCGGAGGACGATCCAGAAGAAGATGATGGCTCTTGATTTGCAGTGATCATAACTAAGGGATAAAGGCATTGGATTTGGAAGAATTTGATCCGCTCAAAACATATAGCCCACATGGCTTTCTCTGCCCCCGAGTTCTGAGCGGAACACGACACCAAAATTTCATGGAAGGTGCCCTTCGCCTTCGCTATGAGTTTCTCTGCTCCTTCGCAATTCACACGGCGACTCTGACTCTCAGCACACGTCCGGAACCCGGGATGGGTTAATGTTATGTCCCACGTCTATGTGAGCCGCATACAAGAGTTTTTGTTGAGCAGCTGAGTTACCTATTTGTCTTTTTTTTAAATATTTTTGTTAATCAAATATGTTGATTAGAATTATTATTATTATAAAAATTAGATAAATAAGAAAAATAAAATAGATTAAAATTTTATATTTAAAACTAAAATAGAAATCAAATATACGCAGTAATATTCTCTCGGCGAAAGCGGTGCAAATGAGGAGAAAAGGAGAAGAAATAATAAAACTTCAACTAAAATACATGTACAGATTCTCACATGATCAACCAAATCAAAGTTTAAATTTCTCTTTTCTATCTACAGGGATCCTTTAATAGGCAATCCTAAGGTATGTCAGGATTAAATGTGTGGCAAATCAAAATTTAAATTTTTATTCTTATTCGGAGGAGTATTTTCCTTCAACAGAATGGCATTGTTTTTTTTTTTTTTTTGGGTTACATAAAGTTTAGATGAGTTTGGTCCCAGGAGCTCACCAGAACTAAGGCATGCTTCCAGGCTCAGAGAACGCTTACAGAGGTACTTACAGATTGTCCACCAACAAGATCCTCATATCGACAGCGGAATTCAAACTCACAACTTCGTAAGTTCTGAGTCGATTTCTTAGCAACTAACCCAACTCTTGTTGGTATGGTCTTGTCTATTTTGAAATAGACTTGTGGGGTTTGTTCTATTATTGGGCTCGAAAGTATTGGGCTTAATAGATGAATTCTGATCTGTCTTTACATGCCCCCAAACGAGGATGGGTTTCTCTTTTCATTTTATGAATTTTGGGGGGGGGGGGGGAATCGACACCAAGTTTTTCTTTAGATATGATTTTTTTTTAAAATGGGCAAACATTTTGTTAGATTTTTGTATTATTAGGTAAGTATATGATATTACAATGAGTCAATTGATAGGCAACCGTGAGTTAATTGAAAAGAGATTTTTAATTACGATGTGATGGTCAGTTTTTTTGTCATAATCGTAATATTTTATTATGTCTGTGTGCGCATTAAATTTGTAATATGTTTATGACGATAATAATGGTGTGTCTTATGTTTCATTTCTTAATGGCACTCTTTTGTATTACTTCTTCAAATACTTTTTTTTTGACCGGAACTTCTTCAAATACTTTGTACCTTAAGTAGTAAATACTGCCATCAGGTTTTAAATTTCGAACACTGATATCGGTCTTGAGTATGTATAAAAAGATGTTTGGGTAAGAACACAATTATAATTTTAAAAATATTTTTACGGTATACGAAGTAAATATATGAAAGTTTATCTTGATTTGTGAAAAAATATTTCTGAAAAATGATTATAGAGTTACCCAAAAACCCCAAGTCTATTATAAGTTATACGCAGGAAAATAATTAGTCAAAATCTCGGCGCCCCCTAATGATCCATTTGATTCGGCACGCAATAAATTATGCACAAAATTTTAAATCAGCGGTGCATATAGATTTTATGCATAATAAAGCAATGAGTAGAAATTTTTTCTACGTAACTGTACCAAAAGCAATTGGGCAATAAACATTATTTTTTTCATTGTAATTAAGGAGTACTGTTTATCCTAAGTTATTTATTAGAGCAATATAGCGGCTCAATTGTCATCATTTGATTAGGACATTGCGTTGACCATTAAATCCATATTGACTTTAGGTGGACGAGCGCTTTACGCCTACAATGTTTATAGAGAAGCAATTATTATCTTAAAGTGGAATAATATGGAGCAAAAAATACTTCATGTGTTTTGGCTAAAACATGTTGCGTCATTATTTCACATTTTCATACCCGATCTATTTTTAAAAGAATAGAGTATTACAAGATTTTAAGAATATAATTAATTGATTAATAATTGATTTTTTTCTGTGTGATGCACAGACTAGTATATTTGATTAAATTTATAATTAGACAATAGTTACATTTAATTTTAATATATTATTCAAATTCAAAATTAATTGTTAATTTTTTTTATTTGAGCTTCTAATTGAAATCCCATTTAATTATAATGCTTCACATTTAATTCAATATATTTAAATCTCAATCAAGATATTATGTAAATCTTATTAATAGAGTATATTCAAATTGCACATTATCATATCCGACCAATTTTTTTAAACGAATTGGGTATTTAAATCTCATTCAAGATATTATTCAAATCTCATTAATGAAATATATTCAAATTACTCCATTTTTAAAAGAATCGGGTATTATAAGATTTTAAGAATGTAGTTGACTTCCAATTGAAATCCCATTTAATTATAATGCTTCTCATTTAATTCAATATATTTAAATCTTAATCAAGATATTATTCAAATCTTATTAATTGAGTATATTCAAATTGCACATTTTCATACCGACCCATTTTTTTAAACGAATCGGCTATTTAAATTTCAATCAAGATATTATTCAAATCTTCTTAATAGAATATATTCAAATTACATATTGTTATACCCAATCCATTTTTAAAAGACTCGGGTATTATAAGATTTTGAAAATATAGTTGATTGATAGTTGATAGTTGATGATTAATGTCTTCTTTTGTCCTTTTTTTCCCTTGTTTATCAAGCTACCCAATAATAAAATCTTTTGGTATTTTTTATTGATAACGTCAACATCAGTAAGCTCTCAAAATGTTTTAGTCCTTATACTTTGGACTAATGTTTTTAATGGAAATTATGAATTATAAAATATTTGCTGCTGAAAGGAGACTGTTTAAGTCCAAACGAATAAGGCTAACAAAGATGTAAATCCAAAAGAATAAAATATGTGACAAAATAAAACTTTTAAATATATCTATCAAATTAATAGAAAATTTTCTCAAATATAAAATATAAAAATTATATACCCAATCACGTGATTCGCAAATATTAACAGTAATATGTATTTTTCATATTCCATACAAGATATAAGAAAATCTGTCTGGCTAACTAAAAAGCTAACTGATTCTAGTCTCCTTTGGATTGTTGTTGGAGAAGGTAAAAACGCATGGAAAAGTGTGAAACTAAGACTTGTGGTTTATTTGGGTGAAATTGGTTATTTGGATGGATTTTTTTTTTGTAACTGACTTATAAGAAAAAATAACTTTTCTAATCAACTCATGGAAACACAATCTAGATCAACTTTTTTAACTGACTTATGAGAAAATTGTGCAAAACTTACGATCTAATTAGTTATGTGATTTCATTTATTTTAATTAGAGACCAAATGAATTTTAATTTGTATTTATGTTTGTCCATTATGTATATTTAATTAATTATTTATAATGTGTTTTCAAATTTTTCTTCGTAACAAATCTTTTTATTTTATAATTTCACAAGTAAACTATTTATATTTTATCATAATACTTTTAAGCATTTTTTAAACTATTATCACATTAAAAACATAAAATTTCAAATACTACTATTCAATAAAATTCATACCATTTTCAGTCATTTTACAATTAAACTAACTTTTTTATTAATCATTCAAAGAATTTTCAATTTTTTCAACTGACTTTTTAAAAACACCTATCCAAATATAAATCGTATTACACTAACTGATTTTTACTTTAACTTCAGTTACAAAAATCAGTTGGACTAGAAGTCAGTTATACTTAACGCCAATCCAAACATACCCTTTGTAGTTATATAATTGAATTTCCAAAGTAGGCCAACTTTCTAATATCAATAGGTCGTCTGCTTAAAAGCATGCCTTCTACAGGATTTCCTGAAAACATGTTTGTCACATAACTTGATTTAGAAGGACATTGTGGCCAATTAAAAAAAAACAAAAGAAAAAAGACGTCGAGGTATAATTGTTCGTTTAACCGATACGGTGACAGTCACATTAATTATCAAATAGCAATTGGATAAGTATTCCTATAAAACAAACAAAAAATCCTAAATACCCAGGAAAATAGAATATTGAAAATCTCATCTGCAGAAGGTAATTAATTAGGAAATAATACACCAAACATACGTACCCATCTTCAAAAAGCCACGCTGATGATAAGCTAGCAGCTTCAAACTAAGCAGACCTCCATTTTCTTACTTTCTCTAAGTCATCTCTGAACCTATCTTCAAGAGCAGCCATAGCTTCCTCAAAGCTATTTCTTGTTGTGAAATAATGCAATATGTGTGTCAAATAAAGTCCCACATGGGAAAGATGAGAAGAAGTCTAAGTGTATAAATGAGATCAAGCATCCTTGGGGGGGTAAATGGGCCAAGAGGGAAGTGGGCCTCGCGCACACAACAACAGGCCACCAGGAGGGAAATGCAGTTGTAAACCGGCGATTTCCCCCCCTGCGCGTGAATTAAACGCGGTAAAGCCTCATTTTACGAAAATTATTTTAAACTTTGTTGAATATTTTTTAATAAAATTATGCTTACCAGAAAAGCCTTATTTTGGACCTGTTAAAAGTCAAGAGGCTTACTGTTTCGTTTTGTGGCCGACCGGACGCGTCTCGCGGGGTGTAGGCGAACGTTGTGTGCACCAACGTTCGCGTTGTTCCGTCTCCAACGGAACCTTACGTTGCTTCGGTCGTACCCGCTCGGCGAAACAGAGGGATGCGTCCTCCGGTGATGTGGCCATTCGCGCCTATATAAGGGACTGTCCAGGCAGCGTGAATATACGACTATTCCATCCTCTTCCTCTTCTCTCCCGCGGTGTTTGTTGTTACAATTGCTTTCGCTGTTCTGCTACCTTGCTTCGCAGGAAGGGTTCGTTTGATCCTGGGGAGTGCCGCTGCCTGTTACACCGAGGGGTTGCGGAATATCTCTCAAGGACAGTGTCCTTGTGACGCGACTCGAACCGGATTTGCTGTTCCTCCTTTGCTGCCGCCAACATTTCTCTAGCACTGGACATCCAACGGATCCACCTTGCAAAAGATGGGCATAACCTGCTGGTTCTTCTGCTTCTTACACCAAACGATATGGGATAGTTCCTCTAGGCACCATGTGGAGGTAGCATAGTTCTTAGAGAACACAATAATGGAAATTCTAGATCTCTCAATGGCTCTAGGAAGCGTAGGTGAGATCTCTTCCCCTTTCCCAAGCTTGTTGTCATCAATGAAGGCATTGATTCCCTTACGTCGCAAAAGCATTGTAGAGAGGAACAGTGAAGGAGTGGCGAGTATCTTCTCCTCTGAAACTCAGAAAAACATCGTACCTGTACTTGATTTTGCTGGTGAAGGCAAAGGGTGATACTGGTGTCGCTACTTGAAGCGCCATGACTGTGATAATGGCAATGGTGAAGCTACGGTTTTGAGAAATTTGTTCAGTGTTTGATTCATCATCTAAGCGTGGAAGATGGTACGAAGCTCTCGGGTTGGAACGTGCAGATCCATTAATTTCATTTGCATGGTCTCACAAGTCAATGGTGATGATCTGCATCCAAGATGATGCCGCGTTTTTGTTCGACTTTCATCTTAAAGCAATTTTTTGTGATGAGTCCCGAGTCACGAGCTCATTCAATGGATGAACCATGGTTGGATAATAGACAATTGGTCATAGTTAAATTAACATATTGTAAATAATTATGGGATGTTTGGTGGTTCCCCTTCTGTTACTCCTCAGTTTTTCCCTACCTTCCAAATGTTGATGTGTTTTCTTTTTATTGTTAAATTCTACATAAAATAAATAATGTTTTATTATTTTATAGGTGAAAAATGGTGAATATTTCAATTTTTTAAAGAAATAATAATCTAAAATTTGTGTAATTTCTTTTTAATTTAAATACAAACTCTTAAAAAAATCATTAAAAATTTGAAACTGTATCATTTTTTGTCTATAACATATCAAAATATCACTTATTTTATGTAAAATCTTATAATAAAAGAAGGAAAAACTAATACCGAAGTCCGTGTAGTTTCCTCACAATTTGAATCAAGTCCTTAAAGTTTTTTCTTTATTTTTTTAATTAAATCCTTATAGTTTAATCTGTTTGAGGCACCCATCCTTCCGTTACACGTTAATGGGAGAAGTCTGACGGCCAAGTGGATTAATACGTGGCAACATGGGCTTTTGACTTTCAGAACTAAACAACCAAGCTTCTTCTCCCCTAGGAAAAAAAATGAAAATTTAAGCTAAATAACCAAGGTGCGAGCTAAATAAAGTCAAGTCATTCCATAAGTTGAAAATATTCCTCCAGACATGTGAGCTGCTACTTTTTCCTTAGATATTTTTGGCCTGTTATATTCTATTCAAATCATTGCTTCTCCTGCCCTCTCTGCTCGGAAGCTAAGAAAACACCCAAAGCTCATAACAACGGTCAAATAATTCTATGTGCAATAAGAAAAGAATGAAAATTTAAGCAATTTTGCACCATGGGTCTACTTTGGGCCTTTGCTGCGACGAGAAAATAAAGGCGAAACATAAAATTTCCATTCTTTGTGGTTTGCACTCATTGCTTTTTTTTTTTGGGGGGGGGGGGGCTCTTTTCAGCATCCAAAGTTTACCATTTTTCCTTGAAAAACAGAGGACCGCATTATTCTTTGTCTTTTAAGCCAGGAATTTATACTTGTACTGGCAAGCAATTTTTGTTGGAATTTATGGCAGGACGTTGATGTGAGAAAATGGTTTCTACCACGGAAGATTGTATGGAAGATATGAACAGAAAGGAACACTGTGAATCCATGTAGACAGAGCCACACATGCTGCAAACTTCAAGCAACACCAATGCGAGAAAGTGAGAGCACGTTTGAATTTGAAGACTTGAAGGGCCACCCTACACGATAGCGTTGCTCAGCGACCTTCTCTTCCTCCTTGCCCCATATGTGCTGGACTCGAATACTCTGCCTTGACCCAACGCCATAGTTAGACATTGCTGCTAACCGGGCCCCTTTTTTTTATACCCCTCAGCGATCAGGGGAAGGTCCAATCACAGCCTAGTTGGACTTATTTAACCACTAATATGCTAGTTGTCTGCCACCTCACTTAAAGTGTTATGATCTCTGTTGGTTTTTCGTTAACAGTAGTAACCTTTACCAGCTTGGATGAGAGAAAATTAGGAAGAAAAGGAAACTAGAGAGGAAAAAAATACAAGGAGAAATGAGTTTTTTTTTTTTTTTTTGCTGCTTAGACTAGAAAGAAAATGTGGGAATAAAAAAAAGTAGGAAAGAGAATAAGGTAAGTTTCATGCATCATTTTTTTCCTCTATAAATGAAGAGATTTGTTTTTTTGGGAGAGGGGGAATTTTCTTGACTGCCCTCTTCTTACACTTTTTCAGTTTCTACTCTCCATATTTATTTTTTTATTATATTTAAAAACTTATTCACTTTTTTATTTTTTATCTTAAAAAATATTTTTATTAAATAATTTGGTTTTAAAATATAATATATGAAAATATCTAAATTGAATACCTTAATTTTAAATTATTTGATGATGCTAATGTTAGTATAATTTTCTTACAGGAATATTTAATTTGATTTAATTTTAGATATGATATATTTTGAAAATAATATTTTAGTCATTTAGATATTTATTTATTTTCTTGTCCTTTTATTTTTATTTTTGTCTATCCAAGTAACAAGAATGATAATATTTTCTCTTTAGTTTTTTTTTAAAAATTTTTTCTTCTCTTATCTTTTCTTTCTTCCAAACTTTTCTTCCTATCTTAGTAGAGCAGGATGGATACCTCTAACAATTTAAAGTATAAAGAGTTAATAAAAAGAGAAAAAAAAAGTTCAAGGACTTAATTCAAAATCTAAAAAAACTGAGCGCATATTAATTTTCCCTAAAAAGAAATAAGAAAAAAATCATTTTGAAGGTAAGGAAAAAAAATATAGCAGAGGGGCCAGCTGACACAGAGCAGCTCACATAAGAGGTAAGAAAAAAGAAGGGAAAATGACAACAAAAAACTATGTAAATTTCAAAAAGACAAATAAGGCACCTAAATAAGTAAAATGACAAATAGGACACTGGGTACCAATTTGGAATTTAGATTTTTAGCTTAATGATCGAATTGCCCTGATGAGTGAGGTAAAAAGGAGTTGAAAGTGAGAAAAAAGGAAACAGAGGAAGACGTTGATGAAACACAGGAAGAAGGAAAGAAGAATGTTGGAAATGCTATTATCTTACTCCTCTGCATCACCATTCTGTAGACATTGTTGATTTGGTGGGTTTTGGTTGTGGGAAAGAGGATTTGTAATGAGAGAGGGAGTGAACCTATAGGATTACGTGAGTGAGTAGAAGTTGATGGCAGGATTTGGATTATTTATTTTTGTGGCTGCTTCATGGTGAAATAGGAACAGGATTATTGCATTTGAGGGTTTATACTCAGTATTTGGTGAATGATGAAGCAGAAATCAGAAAATAATAGCAAGCAATTACGTAATGTAACTGCTGTCATATGCTTTCTGGTTTTTGGTAAATCCCATTACGTGAATGGTAGATTTTATTATACATGTAGTTAATTATGAAAGTTAATAGTTCAATATTTATTGTGATGTACTTCAGGTGCATGTTCACTGAATGATTTATTTATGCTTACAAGTTGCCCTTCCGGTGAAAACAGGCTTACAAAACCCATTGAAGAAGTGATCATTTTCACTATAAAAGTTATAAATCCCATTATGTCTTTTGTAAAATTCAGCGTGAAATTTTAGTGGTGGTGAAAAGTAAGTTACTCATCCCCCAAAAATATGTTGCAAAACCTATTAACAAAGCGGTTACTTTTACTACAAAAGTTGTAAATCCTAGTATATGTTTTGTAAAATTCAAAGTGAAATTTTATTGGTTTTTAGAAACAAGTTGCCCATCCCCTGAAAACAGGTTGTAAAAGCCATTTAAGAAGTGGTCATTTTCACTATAAAAGTTGTAAATCTCACTGTGTGTTTTGTAAAATTCAGCGTGAAATTTTATTGATTTTTAGAAACAAGTTGCTCATCCTCTGAAAAGAGGTTGCAAAACCCATTTAAGAAGTGGTCATTTTCACTACGAAAGTTGTAAATCTCACTATATGTTTTGTAAAATTCAGTATGGAATTTTATTGGTTTTTAGAAACAAGTTGCCCATCCCTTGAAAACATGTTGCAAAACCCATTGAATAAGTGATCATTTTCACTACGAAAGTTGTAAATCTCACTATGTGTTTCGTCAAATTTAATGTAAAATTTTATTAGTTTTTAGAAAGAAGTTGCCCATTCCCTGAAAACAGATTGCAAAATCCATTGAATAAATGGTCATTTTCATTATGGAAGCTATAAATCCCACTATATTTTTTATCAAATTTAGCGTGGAATTTTATTAGTTTTTACAAATAAGTTGTTTATTTCCTGAAAACAGGTTGCGAAACCCATTAACAAAGTAGTCAGTTTCACTACAAAAGTTGTAAATCACAATATGTATTTTGTAAAATTCAGGACCAATGGTTTAATAATACTAGAAAACCTGATAGCTTCACATTCTCTAAAAACGGTTTTATCCGAAGAACAAGACAGAACCAAAAAGAGGAATGCTAAACAATAACATTTTAAGCTGTGGGGACCCATAAAAAATGCTCTATGAATAATAATATTTAAGCTTCCTACTTGTTTATCACAGTTGGTGTTACTTCAGCGACCTCTTCAACGGCGACAATCTTAGGGAGTACGAATTATTTCAGATAGGGCAATGTATTTCAACGATGGTAACCAAATTCAGCGATGGCAATCTACTCTTGCAACGGTAGCAATGTGATTTTGAAGAACCCTTTTTGGTGAATGTAAGAACTTGGATTTAGTTTCATCTAAGGAAATCAGCTTTTCCCTTTCTTTATCGCACAAATACACTGCTCAGTGTTCAGAGACAATCAAGACATTTCAGTCTTTATACCAAAAATGCAAATTCCATATCAGTACCTCATGCCCATTTGGTTATTTTGCTTATTTATGTGCCTTATTTGTCTTTTTGAAATTCACATGGTATTTTGTGGTCATTTTCCCAAAAAAGAACCGGCTAGTAAAAATATACAGCAAATTCCTGGACATTTTTCTTGCTGTTGATTAAATTATGACCGTAATATATTAATTAATGATCATCATATGCTAACTGACAAAACTGATACATAATTAAATAAAAAGAGTAATTTATTTTTTAGGTTTTTAACATTAATATTGCTATGCTGGCAAAAAAAAATCAATATTTTTAATTATATTTAAATGTTTTTCATTTTACATATAATTAAAGATACATAGAATGTAGTTAAAGAAAAGTTTTATATCTACTAAAATAAGTCATACTTACGTGTGCTTTTGGAATAAATTTGTAATGAAAGATTTTGTTGGCAATTTCCCCAAGTTATAACAAATAATTTATTATTTAAATTTCAATATAAAAAGACAATAAAAATTTGAGAGAATTACAATGAGATCCCAAATAAAAAACTAATTAAAAAATAAGTCCCAGAAATTATATTTTTACTGTAGAACTTCTTGTTGTTGGCTGTCCAGATTGTTATTTTTATAACTTTTTAATAATTATTTTTTTTAATAAAAATTCATTGTAATTCTCTCCAAAAATTTAGATGAGCAGTAGCGGGGCAGCTCATGTACTAAGATACCTTCATGACCACAAGATACGTATGACCATAAGGCGCTCTTCATAAAATATTTCTGACGCATTTAAACACTTTGCTTTGGAGAAATTTCTCCCCGGCGGGTCAAACGCGTGCTCTGTTTTAAGCCGATCCGCCACTTTCCTATAAACTTCTCCGGCCGGTGATCAAATGTAGCGACTATTATAGCCATGGCAACTCAAATCGTAGCACCGTCATTGTTTGGCTTCTCCCGTGAAAGCAAGTATAGATATGATGTTTTCCTGAGTTTCAGAGGTGAAGATACTCGCCGCTCCTTCACCGTCTTCCTCTATGAAGCTTTGCGTCGGAAAGGAATCAACGCCTTCATCGACGACAAGAAGCTTGGGAAAGGGGAAGAGATCTCACCTACGCTTCTTAAAGCCATTGAGAGATCCAGGATTTCCATTATTGTGTTCTCTAGGAACTATGCTACTTCCACATGGTGTCTAGAGGAACTCGCACACATCATTTGGTGTAAGAAGCAGAAGAACCAGTTGGTTATGCCCGTCTTTTACAAGGTAGATCCGTTGGATGTTCAATATCAGAGAAACAGCTTCGGAGATGCCATGGCTACTCTTGAAGATAGATTCAGAGATGACTTGGAGAAAGTGCGAAAATGGAGATCTGCTTTGTCCGAAGCTGCTAGTTTGTCATCAGCATGGCTTTTCGATGATGGGTAGGCTTCCTTATACTATTTTCTAATTGCCTTCTGCATATGAAATTTTCAAACTGTTGCTTAATAATTAATGGTTGCCGATAAGATGAGATGCTGTTGAAGATGTATGAACTTTTGATCGGCGACTATTACTACTGGATTTCTGTAAACTTGGGGTCTTGAAGATTTTTAGTTTTAATAATTTTAAAATTTAAGATTCGGTGAAATAATGCCAAAGACTAACATAATTATATATCCTTCTGCATCAAAAGTGAGCATGTGACATTTTTGAGAAATTGAGTAGAAGATATCTTATCACGTATCAAGCAGACAATTTATTGAAATTTATGTTTGTCTAATATTTTATTATTTTCCTTGGATGTTCTTTTTATCCTGGATTCTTTTGAGTTTTACTTAAATCTTACCATCTTAGCCGTATTTGGCATAGAGAAAGGAGGAAAAAGTTGAGAGCTCACTGATATCGAGTCTATCTTTAAAGAATCAAAATATTTTATTGAAAAATATGTGATAAACGACCAAAATACATATAAAAGAAGATACTTAGTAAATCATCTCATGAAGCTAAAACCAGAATTTGTGCTTCTTTAGAGACGAAGACAAGTTTATTGAAAGGATTGTCGAAGATGCATTTGCTAAGCTGCCTCCTAAACGCTTTCATAACACTGATCATATGGTTGGACTTGAGCCCCGCATAAAAGAGGTGATGTCAATTCTAAATAAATCTGATGATCGTGTTTGTATGTTGGGGGTCCATGGAATTGGTGGAATTGGCAAAACAACTCTTGCAAAAGCTATTTATAATTCAATCTTCTACGAATTTGAAGGTCATTGTTTTTTGTTTGATGTAAAAGAAGCATCAAAGAAATACAAGGGCATTGTCCGCCTTCAACAGACACTTCTATCAGAAATTCTAGAAGAGAAGAGGATGAAATTTGGCAGTGTTGATGAAGGAATATCAAAAATAAAACATAGACTCTCTCACAAAAAGGTTTTGTTGGTTCTTGATGATGTTGATGAGGTTGAACAGTTAGAACAACTAGCAGGGGGATGTGATTGGTTTGGTTGTGGAAGCAAGATCATTATTACTACAAGAAACAAACAATTGCTAATTGCATGTAATGTTAAAAAGACATATGAAATGAAGAAGCTACATGAGCATTACTCTCTGGAGCTCTTTTGTTGGTACGCCTTTCATATGAGCCAACCTCCAAAAGGCTATAAAAATATGTCCATTCACGTTACAAGGTATGTACGTGGCCTTCCTTTGGCTTTGAAAGTAATAGGCTCCAATTTGGCACATAAAAGCATTGAGGAATGGAGATCTATATTGAAGCAATATGATGAGATTCCAGAAAGAACAATTCATCATGTCCTGAAGATAAGTTATGATTGTTTACAAGAGTGTGCTAAGGGTATTTTCTTAGATATTGCTTGCTTCTTCAAAGAGGAGAAATTGGAATTTGTTGAAGCAATATTAGAAGCTTGTGATCGTGGGGCAAGGTTTTATATTGAAGTTCTCGTTGATAAATCTTTGATAACTATTAATGATAAAGGTTATTTGTACATGCATGATTTAATACAACAAATGGGTAGAGAGATTGTTAGGCAAGAAGCACTATCGGATCCTGGCAAACGCAGCAGATTATGGTATTACAAAGATGTTCTCAAAGTACTACATGAAAATTTAGTAAGATTCTACTTGTATCTGTGTTCTTTTACATGTACTATTCACAACAAATTAATTGTCTAATTGGGTCATATCTAACACTGCTATATTTGGACTTGAATACTAGGGAGGCAACAATATTGAAGGAATAATACTTGATCCACCTCACCAGGAAGAAGTGAAATGTAGTGATTCAGCCTTTGAGAAGATGAATAATCTTAGAATCATCATTGTTCGCAATACTCAATTTTTGACATGTCCTAAATATCTTCCGAATAGTTTAATATTACTAGATTGGCAGGGATATCCTTCTATGAATTTGCCACCAGATTTTTCGCCTCCAAAACTAGTTTGCCTCAAGATATACGGCAGTCCTTTCAGCTTGGAGGTATCGTTCGAGGTAGATTTTTCATCCTTTATCTTAAAAACACGATTCTTTGTCAAAGTCCCGTTTCCTACTTTTATGAAATCAGCACACTCAACTACCTCCTAATCAATAAGGATTCTCACTTCTAAGAATTACTCAATTATTTATTATCCTACACGGATTCAAGTTATATTAATTTTTCTTTTGCGAAGATCCTTTCCCTTTTATTTGTATTTGATCAAATATAAAGAAATAGATTTCATTCAAACATTTTTAATTTGATAGTATCTTGGTAATCAACATTTCATTTCATTCCAATCCTTTATAAGAACCAAACCGGCTGAATCTCTTATTAGTTACAGTTAATTAAGTAGTCTAGTATTTGTTTTGCAGAGATTTGAATATTTGACGTATTTGGACTTCTCAAAGTGTGAATTCATAAGTGAAGTCCCTGACATGTCTCAGTTTCAAAATTTAAAAACATTGAGCTTTCGTGAATGTCGCAGTCTGATCAAAGTTCATGATTCTGTGGGATCTCTCTTCAAGCTAGTGAAATTAGACGTTCTTGAATGCATCAAACTCACAAGCTTTCCACATGAAATCAAGATGCCATCTCTTCAAGAGTTTAATATTAGTGATTGCAAGAGTCTTGAAATACTTCCCAGAAATCGTGGGAAACATGGATCCACTGATGTATATTAATGCAGAAGTCCGTGCTATTAATGAGCTCCCATCATCTATTGGAAATCTTCCAAGGCTTCGTTCTTTAAATTTAAGATCTTGCAGAAATCTTAGAGGGCTTCCAAACAGCTTATTGACATTACATAATCTTGGAGTGCTTCTATTAGGAGACATAAAACCTCATGGAAGAAAATCTTTGAAGAAATTAATGCGAGAGAGCCAACCACCAACTATTAGCTGCACGAATTTAGATCGCTTGGAACTCCAAAATTGTGGTCTATTGGATGATCTTCACCTAGTTCTGAAATGTTTTCGAAATGTGAGATACTTAAATCTATCAAGGAATGATTTTGTATCCCTTCCCGGGTGCATTAAGGAGTGTGCTTATTTGGAGAGACTAGATCTGAGTGCCTGCAAGAGGCTAAGAGACATACCAGAGTTACCATTAACTCTGCAGAGCATAGCTGCAGATAAGTGCATGTCATTAACTTTGGAGTCGATACGTCATTTATGGTCTCAGGTTTTTTCTCATTCTTTTTATATTAATTTCCTTATTCACCTGCTATTTTATAGATTTCTCTTTCAAATGTGTATTCTCTCATTCAAATCAGTAAGTAAATGCCTTTGGTTGCTACTGTTTTGATGAATCAGGCAAAAGAGGGCTTTCGCGTGGAAATCGTTATGCCAGCAATATCATTTCCTGATTGGTTACACTTTTGTTGTAAAGGTGGCAAATTGTCTTTTCGTGTCCGTGGAAATTTCCCACAAATCCTCATCGCATACGAAACAGGGAAGGCAAACACAAGTGGGATATACACATTAGAAGTTTTTATGAGGATCAATGGTAGTAAAAAAATGCCATGGGTACAAAGTGATCGTGATGCAAGAGAAAAGGGTCGTTTTGTGCTTTCTGTAGGATATCAAGCTCATGTATTCTTCTATGATCTACTAAGTGATTTTAGTGAAGAAGAGTTGGAGGAGCTTAATAAGTTTTTGGATTTGGAATGGAATGATGTGGACATACAAGTTACGTCTGACTCACCAGCTGATATGTCCATAATTAACTGTGGTATTTATGTCAATAAGCAACAGACAAGTATGGAAAATGTTCAGTTCAAGTCTCCTTTGCGTTCCATGAATGCTTCAAGAGCTTCGCTGAAACGAAGAGCAGTAGCTTCTCATCCCAACGAACCACCCAAGAAGCATTTGAGAAGGTTCAAAGAGAAGATCAATTGCACAAGAAGGACAAGGTGAACCTGTACTTCCTCTTATTGTTAATTGTCGTCTCATGGTTTTTTATTACTATATCTGATCTTTATAAGAGATAATTAACTGATATGGGTAAAGTAAGGAAGTCAAATAAATGAGCTAATTATAGCAAACATAATATGGTTTACTTAAAACAGTCCGGTACGTTAGATTATATATCAAAATTTACAAGTTAGGTGAATTAATTTAAAAAAAAGGATAAATACGAAACAGAAGATGAGCTGAGGTTTTCTATTTATGACAAAATCTAACCCATAATTGGCTCTTATATTAAAGATCGGAGAAGCACTTTTAATTTTTTCTACTTTGTGTATTGTAGGCAAACTAAGCCACACCGAATTTTCCATTCGCAGTGCAAGAGAAGGATGTTTTTTCCTATGTCTAAGCATCTTTTGAGAGCTTTGTATTCTTAGGTATCAAATATTATTATTGGTAGTCAATTGTTAGTTAATTAGGATTTGTGTATATGTGACGGTTAATTCCAACGTGACGATTAATTTTGTTTTTAATGCATTATCATAATAAATGGGTTGTATATGTATTATGTTTACGATGTGAATTTTATGGTATTTCTTGAGTTGAAAAATAAGCCAGTGCACAGCATGTAAAACATTCTCTCTCCGTTTTTCTAACCATTATCTAATTATAAAATTTGAAAAATAAATCATACATGTTATTTATGGTATGTGAATATTCTGATTTTTTTGTAACTTCTATTATACATAGTTTTATACATATATTAATAGATTTTCGGTATATTGATAATATTGACAACGATGAAGAGATAATGTTTTAAAAAGTTAAAAAAAAGAAAAAAGATAGGCTGATATTAATCTTAATGTATAAGATTTAATGTTCTCAAAATATATTGGGTGTGTGTATGTATATATACAAGATTCAAACCTTCCCAAGCAAATGTGGTCACAAAAAAGGCACAAGTAATGCAAATGTCTACCAACAAATTATTCCTTTCAGCAATTCTTCTTCCACCTAAAAGGCATCACATTCTTCCAAATCCAAGTTGAAATTATTCAGATTCCAGCAATTTCTAAATTTTTTGGCCAACTCTAACAATGTATAAAGCACAATCAGGGTTGGTTTAGTGGAAGAAGATATTAATCATTTACAACGTGACAAATTAATATTGAAATATTTGTTAAGAGAAGTACTAATATTAGTGTTTGATAGTACTTTGAGCGTAATTGCTTTCAATAAGAAAATACATATACTAACTAAAAAAAATACAAGTGGTAGCCACTCTTTTGTAAAGCTCCTTCCTATTTTGTTCCCTTTTTTAATGATAGTAATTCATTAGATAGAATGGCTTCATTTATTAAAAAATGTTGATAAAGCCAAAAAAAAAAAGCCTTATTAAGTGAAAAACAATTTATTACTTGGGCTTGTCAATTTAAATCCTATGGTGTAGCCAAGAGGGAGAAAAACTGAAGATATCAATGTGTCGTGTTTAGATTGAATGGTTGGGGAAAAAAAAAGAAGTTAAAGTATGTTTTTAATCTTTTAATTTTATATAATATTTTAATTTAATTTCTTAATCTTAAAAAGTAAAATTTCAGTCATTTAACCTGAAAATCGTTAACAAAAATAAAACATTATCAAATACTAACATATTAAGTTTAATTTTCAAAACAATTATTATTGTTACAAAAAAAATCTGAAACTAATAATTTTGAGGTTTAAAAATTAAGCAAAGTATTCTCTTAATTTTTAAACCTAATTAAAAAAAAAAAAAAGTGGTAGCCACCCTTTTGTAAAGCTCTTTCCTATTTTGTTCCCTTTTTTCACAATAGTAATTAATTATGTAGAATGGCTTCATTTATTAAAAAAATTTGATAAAGCAAAAAAAAAGCCTTATTAAGTGAAAAACAATTCATTACTTGGGGTTTTCAATTTAAATCCTATAGTGCAGCCAAGAGGGAGAAAAACTGAAAATATCAATATGTGGTGTTTAGATTGAATGGTTGGGGGGAGTTAAAGTATGTTTTTAATCTTTTAATTTTATATAACATTTTAATTTAATTTTTTAATCTTAAAAAGTAAAATTTCAGTCACTTAACCTGAAAATTATTAACAAAAATAAAACATTATGAAATACTAACATATTAAGTTTAATTTTCAAAACAATCATTATTTTTTTTAAAAAATCTGAAACTAATAATTTTGAGGTTTAAAAATTAAGAAAATACTTTTTAAAATTAACAAATCAAATTGAAACTTAGTACTCCTCCAATACTTAATATAGGAGCTAATTAGAGAGTTGATGTTTGTCCTATATATAAAACCTATTTGATAAGTTTATCAATTTTTTTCCAAACTAACCCTATTGATATTTTCCCTACAATAATCAAATAGAAGAGAGAGGAAAAAATTAAGGAAAATGTTTAAAGTGCTTTAGAAAAAAACATACTACCTCATGTCCTAATTATAAGAGCTCGTTGACTAATTTGGGAAGATTAAAAAAATAAGTTAAGTTAGTTATTTGTAATAAATAGGTACTGTTTTTCCTAAAATATTCTTCTTAATCATATGTATTGGTTAGAACTATCATTATTAGAAGGACTACCTTTAGATTAGAGATAAAGTGGATCGGGGTCTTATACTTAAAACCAAAATAAAAATCAAATGAAGTGTTATATTAAAGATCGGAAGCAGTATCATATTAGCTAATTTTACTCTAATATCCGTAAATACTCAAATTACTTAATTAGATCTTATATTTATATTAATATAGATTTTTGCCCATAAAAATTATGAAAGCTTTCCTATTTTGTGGGCTTCATCTAGATTACAAGTAACTAATGTTATACAACTGTCACAACTCACAAGGTGTGCTCTTCCCTTGACATCATTTTTTCCGGCTTTATCATATTTCTTTTCTAATGGTCAGAACAATATTTCATCAACTAAGATAATTATTTTCTGATGCTGGCAAATATTTTTTTTTAAAATTAAACTACTTCCTCTATGTTAGCCCCAAAAAAAAAAAATTAAACTACTTCATCTGATGTTTAATAAAAAATAACGATGTCTTGCGTGCAAGACTGTAAGTCATCTTATGCCGACTTCCGGAACTCACCGCTTTTGCCGCGGAGCTTCTTCATCGACCTTAAAAAAGGGCAATAATGAACATTTAACAGGAGAAATTAAGCTTGAAAAAAATTGTTTGGATGAAAGGGGTTCGATGAATAGCAGAGGGAGGGGGCTGGAATTTCTGAAACGAAGAAGATGGGAGGAAAGGAGTTCGTCCGTGAAGAGAGAACATGAAAGAGGTAGCGAATTGCAAAACCTGGGAATTTTTTCATTTTTTAAATAATTAAAATGGAAACATGTTTTGTCAGTCGTAAAATCATTATTAAAATTTAATGAGTGAGCATTCTTGGTTAGATAAAATTAACCCTTTTAAGATTAAAAGACCAAAAATACTACCTCCCATCCTAATTATAATAACTAGTTAACTAATTTGAGAAAATTAAAAAAAAATTAAGTTAGTTTTTATAATAAATATATGTTGTGTTTCCTAAAATATTCTTGCTAATCAAGTGTAATAGGTAGAATTATCATTGTTAGAAGGACAACCTTAAAAAAATGTATAAATATGAGAGACAAAGTAAATTAGGGTCTTATTTAGAATTAAAACAAAAGTCAAATAAAATTTTATATTAAGAACCGGAAGTAGTATATTTTATAAACTTAAGGAATTAAAATAAAACTTAATACAAACATAAAAAACCAAATATATATTTTAGCCTCATATTTTTTTCTCAAACTCTTCTCATTTATTGCAAATGATTAAAGAGGAGCTTCATTAATTTTATTAATATCTACAAATTAATTATTTATTTTTTATATTACCCATTAGAGTGAGTATAAAAATAAATAATCAAATTCAAACAACTAAAATTTAGCATGAATAATTTAAAACTGCAAAAGTAAAATGATACTTTCTCTGATTCAAAATATAAGCTAAACTTAAACTAAACTTTGTTTGAAAGGCTTGATTTTTTTTATAAGATAACATTCACTTTTATCTAAGCATTTAATGAGTTTTTTCAATTTTATCCTTATATATTCTCTCTCTTTTTTTATCCATTTATTACATTCTTTTATTTATTTTCTTCATTAATCAGAGTATATTTAGAAAAAAAACTATATATTTTACATATTTATTGTTTTAAACTAATTTTAACTAGTTTCTTAACAAATATAAATTGATAAAGTTTAGTTTATATTTTAAAAGGAGGGGGGTAATATTTTATAAACGATTAAATTTTAACCGTTGAATGTGATCGGACGGTTGAAAAAGAAAGATGAGGGAAAGAGACGACGGAGAGGGAATCGTCTCTGAGGGTGAGGGGCTTGGGCGTGCTACCGAATACAACGGGAGGATGGTAAAATGAGGAGTAACATTGTCCGAAAACGAAATTGACGGACCAGCTTCTCACAAATTGCCTACCATTCTCCGTTCTTCTCTTCGTCGGAGGATTAAACGTGGTGGAAATTTCTCTCTCGTTTTAGTATCCAAATGTCAATTTCTTGATTCGCCATTGCGATTATCTCAGCCATGGCGATTCAACCGGCAGCATCATCATCCCATACCTTTACCAAGTACAGATACGACGTTTTCTTGAGTTTCAGAGGCGAAGACACTCGCCACTCTTTCACTGTCATTCTCTACGATGCCTTGCGTAGGAAGGGAATCAACGCCTTCATTGATGACAGAAAGCTTGGGAAAGGGGAAGAGATCTCGCCTACGCTTCTTAAAGCCATTGAGAGATCAAGGATTTCCATTATTGTGCTCTCTAGAAACTATGCTACTTCCACTTGGTGCCTGGAGGAACTCGCCCACATCATTTGGTGTAAGAAGCAGAAGAATCAGGTGGTCATGCCCATCTTTTACAAGGTCGATCCGTTGGATGTTCAGTATCAGAGAAATAACTTTGAGGAAGCCATGGCTACCCTTGAAGATAGGTTCAGAGATGATTTAGAGAAAGTGTGGAAATGGAGGTCTGCCTTGTTTGAAGCTGCTAGTTTGTCATCAGCATGGCTTTTCCAAGATGGGTATGCTTCCTTATAATAGTTTTTGTTATTATCTTCTAGTGATGACGTTTTCAATTAATTAGTGGTTGCTGATGATTCAACTCGCTGTTCATGCTGAATCTCTATAAATTTGAGTCTTACTCGTATGATTTTTTGAGGATATATAGTCTTGGAGTATTGTTGGAAAAATAAAATTATAAAATAGATAGTTTTTACCATAAATATTTCAATTTAATTTAAATTTTTATTATTTTTTACTACTGAATGAGAAAATAATATTTTACTTAGTGATTACTAATTTATCTATATTGTTATCGTCATTGGATCTTATCTATCCGGATCCAACTTGACATTGCTCTTCAGAATTCGTTAGAAGATGTTAAACAGAGTATCTATTGTTACTGCGAGTTATAGTCTACTTTTGCATACAAAACTATTTTGGACATATATGAGTATTGAATCCATTAGCTTCTTTTTTTTTTTTTTTTTAAATAATTAGCCTTTTGAATAAGCTATAAACAATATCTTGTGCATTAAATGGAGTTTGAAAAATGAGTTACGTTTTTTATGACTTGTTCTAGTTTTATTAATTTGGATCTGCTTCTTTTGGATTTACTCAAATGGTTCCATTTGTGTAGCTAATATTTGTGAGTTTATATTTTTTTAAAAGGACCCTGTGCATAGCGAAGGGATAAAAGAACAAAACTTAGAGCTAATTGATATTCAGGTTGTAACCTTTGAAGCATTAGTTGAGATTTTACTTAAAAGAATTATCATAATAACAAACAATAAAAGGAGAAGAAGAAGACGTTTTGCATCAATTTTCTTCATAACGAAATGAGAATCTGCCTTTTTGCAGATACGAAATTGGGTTTATTGAAAGGATTGTTGAATATGTGTATGCTATGCTTCCTCCTAAACCATACCATAACATAGAACACATGGTTGGACTTCAGCCTCGGGTAGAAAAAGTGATCTCGCTTCTAAATAAATCTGACAAAGGTGATTGCATGTTGGGCATTCATGGAATTGGCGGAATTGGCAAAACAACCCTTGCAAAAGCTATCTATAATTCGATCTTCTACCAATTTGAAGGTGCGTGTTTCTTGTTTGATGTCAATGAGGCATCAAAAAAATTCCAGGGCATTGTTCATCTTCAACAAAAACTTCTATCTGATATTCTAGAGGAAAAGATTACGAGGTTTGGTAGCGCTGACCAAGGAATATCTAAAATAAAACACAGACTCTCCCGTAAAAGAGTTTTGTTGGTTCTTGATGATGTGGATGAGATTGAACAGTTAGAACGACTTGCAGGGGGGTGTGATTGGTTTGGTTGTGGAAGCAAGGTCATTATAACAACAAGACATAAGCAATTGCTCATTGCTCATAATGTTAAAAGAATATATGAATTGACGGAGCTAGATGATCATGATTCTCTTGAACTCTTTTGTTGGCATGCCTTTCGTATGAGCCTACCCCCTAAAGGCTATGAACAGATGTCTAGTCATGTGATAAGTTATGCAAAGGGCATTCCTCTTGCTTTAAAATTAGTTGGCGCCAATTTAGCAAATAAAAACTTAGAGGAATGGAGGTCTACATTGGAACAATATGATCGGGTTCCAGAAAGAACATTACATGAAGTACTAAAGATAAGTTATGACTGCTTACAAGATGGTGCTAAGATTATTTTCTTGGACATTGCTTGTTTCTTTGAAGAGGAGATATTGGGTTCTATTGATGAGATAGTAGAAGCTTGCGATTATGGTGCAAGGTTTTATATTGAAGTGCTTATTGATAGATCTCTTTAGCTATTAATGATGATGATCATTTGTACATGCATGATCTGATAAAACAAATGGGTAGAGAGATTGTTAGAAAGGAGGCACCATTGAATCCTGGCGAACGTAGTAGATTGTGGAATTATAAAGATGTTCTTAAAGTACTACATGAAAATTCTGTAAGAACTTGACTATTTTTTGTTTCCACATATACATTAAATTTATTTTGCTATTGGGCAATATCCAACAAAGTTTAATTCTTTGGCTTTGCATTATAGGGAAGTACTAAAATTGAAGGAATAATGTTTGATCCTCCTCAACATGAGGAAGTGGAGTGGAGTGGTATAGCCTTTGAGAAGATGAATAATCTTAGAATTCTCATTGTCCGAAAGGCCCAGTTTTCAATTGGCCCTAGATATCTTCCCAATAGTTTGAGATGGCTTGAATGGCAGGGATATCCTTCTGCAGAATTACCGCCAAATTTTTCTCCAAACAAGCTAGTTGTCTTCAAGTTATGTTGCAGTCCTTTCAGGTTGGAAGAGCCATTCAAGGTACTTTTTTTAACCTTTTATATATATAACAAACAAACAACAAGCCTTATTCCACTAGGTGGGTTTGGCTACATGAATCACACGACGCCATCGTGTTCTGTCAACAACCCAATCCTTAGATATGTTGTTGATTAGGAGATCTCGTTCAATGACCTCATTCAGCGTTCTTCTCGGTCTTCCCTTGCCTCTTTTTATGGGACTCCATCTTGTTTGATCTACCCTCCTCATCGGGGCTTCCAAAGGCCTTCTCTGCACATGTCCAAACCATCTTAAGCGATTTTCAACCATTTTCTCTTGGATAGGTGCCACACCGACTCTTGTCCTGATCTTTTCATTTCGAATCCTATCTTTTCTTGTATGACCACACATCCATCTCAACATCCTCATTTCTGCTACTCCGACTTTGTGCTCTTGTTTTCCCTTTATTGCCTAACATTCACTACCATACATCATAGCTGGTCTTATAGCAGTCCGATAAAATTTTCCTTTAAGTTTCTCAGGTACCTTCTTATCGCAAATAACTCCGGTAGCTTTCCTCCACTTTAACCAGCCAGCTTGTATTCTATGAAAAATATCTCCATCAATTTCCCCATCCTCCTGTATAATGGATCCTAGGTATTTAAACTTTGATACTTGAGGAATAATTTGCTCTCCCATCCTCACCTCCAAATCCCTATTACCTTGCCTCCCTCCAAAATCACAATGCATATATTCTGTTTTGTTCTTGCTCAAACGGAAACCTTTCGACTCCAAAGTCCTTCTCCATAACTCCAAACTAGTGTTAATCTCTTCTTTTGATTCCGCCATAAGAACTATATCATCCGCGAAGAGCATGGACTTAGGGATTCTTTCTTGAACAGGTTTAGTTAGAACATCCAGAACAATGTTGAACAAGTACGGACTCAAAGAGGATCCCTGATGTAGGCCAATCTTAATAGGGAAGTCCTTTGTCTCCCCCCAGGCGTCCTTACACTGGTAGTTACCGCTTCATACATATCTTGTATGACTTTGATATACGCAACCCGTACACCTTTCTTTTCCAAAGCCTTCCACAATACTTCTCTTGGCACACGATCATAAGCCTTTTCCAGGTCAATAAAAACCATATGTAAATCTCTTCTTTTACTTCTATATCTCTCCATTAACCCCTTAGTAAATAGATTGCTTCCGATGTGGATCTCCCTGGCATAAATCCAAATTGGTTTTCCGAAATAGAAGTCTCCAACCTCAATCTATATTCCATCACTTTTTCCCACAACTTCATTGTATGACTCATAAGTTTTATCCCCCTGTAGCTTGCACAGTTTTGAATGTCTCCTTTATTCTTGTAAATAGGAACTAAAATGCTTTTCCTCCATTCATTCGGCATATTTTTAGAGCGTAGAATTTCATTAAAAAGCTTGGTTAGCCACACCTTCCCCTCATCGCCCAAACATTTCCAAACTTCAATAGGGATACCATCAGGCCCAACGGCTTTTCCATTGTCCATTTTCTTGAGAGCCGCCTTAACTTCTCCGATACGTATCCTGCGGTAGAAAGCTAAATTCCGATCATCTTCGTTAATTAGCAAGTCCTGCAAGTCCTGAGTCGCATAATTGCTTCCCTCATTAAACAACTTGTAAAAGTAAGCCTCCATCTGTCTTAATATCACCATCAGTAACTAACATTTTACCATCTTCATCCTTTATACACTTTACTTGGTCCAGATCTCTCTTTTTCCTCTCCCTTTGCTTTGCGATCTTGTAAATATTTCTTTCTCCCGTCTTTGTTCCTAACTCCTGATAAAACCCTTCATAAGCTTTAGTACGTGCTTCGCTCACTGCTCTCTTTGTCTCTTTTTTAGCCAACTGATACTTTTCCTGGTTCTCTACACTATTGCACAAGTGTATGGCCTTAAAACAATCTTTTTTCTATTTGACTTTCTCTTGCACACTCTTATTCCACCACCAAGTCTCCTTATCTCTTTGACCAGGACCTTTGGATTCTCCCAAAATTGCTTTAGCTACCAAACGAACCCTTGTAGCTATCTCTTCCCACATCATGTTTGCATTTCCCTGCCACTCCCAATTCCCTTCCTTCAAAAGAGTCCTTTTGAATAACTCCCGCTTCTCTCCTTTTAACTGCCACCACTTAATCCTGGGTTTTGCCACTTGATGGTACTTTTGCCTGGTACTCTTAAAACATACATCAAGGATAAGTACTCTATGTTGGGTACTCACTCCGTCTCCTGGAATCACTTTGCAATTAGTACACAATCTTCTGTCCGGATTCTTAACCAAAAAGAAATCAATATGTGATTTTGAGACACCACTTTTGTACGTGATTAAATGCTCCTCTCGCTTCTTAAAACAAGTGTTGACAATCTTAAGATCGTATGCAAGAGAAAAATCGAGAATAGATTGTCCTCCACTGTTAAGCTCCCCAAAACCAAAACCACCATGGGCCCCGCTGAATTGTCCTGCTTCTTTACCAACATGTCCATTAAGGTCCCCACTGATAAAAAAATTTTCTTCGAGTGGTATGCTTTGAACCAAGCCCTCCATATCTTCCCAAAACTTATCTTTAAGGTGTGTCTCTGCCCCAACCTGAGGTGCATAGGCACTAATGATATTGATAGTATCCTTTCCAACAATTACTCTTAACGATATTATTTTGTCCTCAAACCTTTTAACCTCTACCACGTTTTTTTTCCATGTCCCATCAGCGATGATACCAACCCCATTCCTTGTGCTCACCTTTCCTGTGTATCAAAGTTTATACTCTCCAAGTTCCTTGGCAGCTTCTCCAGTCCATTTGGTTTCTTGGAGGCATAAGATATTAATCCTTCTGTCCCTCATAACTCCTGCTACTTTCATAGATTTCTCATTTAACGTCCTAATATTCTAAGTGCCAAATCTAATCTCAGTCTCATGAACTAACTTCTTTAGCCGCCTCCGTCCAAGAGAGTGCGGTAGCCCTTGCTCATTTAACACTACATCCGGGCGACGATGCAGCGGCTCTAGCTCATTTCTCACTGTACTCGAGCCATACAGCGCGTCACATCTGGGCAACGACCTAGCATTAGCATAATTACTTCGTTGATCCATGTTCATGAGATTCGACGGGTTTTTACGTTGGCTGTCGAGGGTCTAACACAACCCTCCTCTTTTATCCGGGCTTGGGACCGGCTATACAACATAGGGGGAGTTAACCTTTTATATATATATATATATATTTTGTTCAAATTTCCTTGGCTTTTGTTTTCTTCAAAGAATGAATAAGTTACTCCAATTGTCCTTCTATTTTTCTAAACTTATACAAATGATAGTGTTTGGTCATAAATCTCTTGTAATTAATGTTAACAATCTGTTTTTGTGTCGGCAGAGATTTGAATATTTGTCATGTATGAATTTCTCACATTGTGAATTCATAACTGAAGTACCTAACATGTCTCAATTCCAAAGTTTAAGGAAACTGTTGTTTAGAGACTGTTACAACTTGATCAAAGTTCATGATTCAGTGGGATCTCTCTCCAAGCTGGTGGAATTAGATGTTGGGGGGTGCGTCAAACTTACAAGCTTTCCACATGAAATCAATATGCCATCTCTTCAGAGTATTGATATGAGTCACTGCAAGAGTCTTGACTACTTCCCACATGTAGTGGGAAAAATGGATGCACTAACCGATGTTTGGGTTGAAGACACTTCTATCAAGGAGCTCCCACCTTCCATTGGAAATCTTGCCGGGCTTGAATCCTTAAATTTAAGCTCTTGCAGAAATCTTAAAGAGCTGCCTAACAGCTTATTCACGTTGCAAAATCTTAACTGGCTTAGTTTGGATGGCATTCAACCTGATAGCAGAAAATCTTTCAAGAAATTAATGCTAGAGAGCCAACCAGTGATTAGCTGCGCAAACGTAGAGTTCTTGATTCTCAAAAATTGTTGTCTGTTGGATGAAGATGTTCACCTAACTCTGAAGCTTTTCCAGAATTTGATAGAGTTAAATCTATCAGGGAATGATTTTGTGTCCCTTCCTGAGTGCCTTAAAGATTGTGGTAGGTTATTGGAACTGGATGTGAATAACTGCAAGAGGCTAAGAGATATACCAGAATTACCCTCAAATTTGCGGAAAATAAAGGCAGAGAATTGCATTTCATTAACTACAGAGTCATTAGGCCATTTATGGTCTCAGGTTTTTCTCGTACTTTTTTCTGCTTTCTTTTTCTTCTTCTATGTTGATGATTATTCAAATTAAATACAATGTGATTGGGTTGAAATTGGAAAAAATCATCGCTTGTCTTTTCGTTTCTAAATCAGACATTTTTCTTATGCTTGTAGATCTTTCTAGTTGAATTATTCTGCTCACATGTCACTAATTAAGTCATAGTCATATTGAACTGTTTTCCTGTGCAAGTTAACGCAATCCACAAAATTTCTCTTTATTCTCTTCACATGTCTTTTTCAAATCTGAAAAATGTCTTTTGCCTCTGCTGTTTTGGTAAACCAGGCAAAAAGGGAGTTCTTTGGCATGAGTATCATTTTGCCAGCAACAACATTTCCTGACTGGTTCCACAATGGGTCTGAAGGAGGGAAAATGTCTTTCCTTGCTCGTAGGAGTTTCCCTCACGTGGTCTTTGCGTTTGAGTTGGGGAAAGCCACTACTAGAAAGAGACAAGCTTCCATTTTTCTCTGAGCATCAATGGTCGTGTAATACAAAGGAGATACGATGATATCACAATTCCACAAGGTCATGTGTCTTTATTTAATCTCGGAGTGGCTTTTGAGGGAGAAGACTGGAGGTGGCTTCAAAGATTCATGGAATTGGATTGGAATGATGTGGAGATAAAAGTCATTGGTTTAACGCCAGATATACCTGTGGTTAAGTGTGGAGTTTATGTGTGCAAACAGCAAACAAACATGGAGAATATCCAATTCAAGTCTCCTATGCTTTTCATGAATGCTTCAACAACTCCACTGAAACGAAGAGCCATAGCTTCTCCCAATGAACCACCCAAGAAAGTCCTGAGAAAGCTCAAGACTACTGATAAAGGAAAGATCAATAACATAAAGAAAGGTTCAAGGTGTGCCTCTACTTGATACTAATTGTGGTTTCAAGATTTTTGCTTATTATTAATTTTTCCATGTTCTTGTGTTGTAGGAGAAATAAACGACACCAATTGTTTCATTCCCGCTGCAAGAGATGGATGGTTTTTCCAATGGCTAAGCATGTTTGGAGATTTTTGAGCTACTAGCAATTGAATATTACAGTTGATAGTCCATTTTTAGATGAGATGACACCTCTGGCCTGTTACGGATTGTCTGGGCAACTGGCATGATCCCAGCTGCAAACTTAATGGCTTAATTTGCAAGAGATTGAAAACTACATATGTACAATAATCGTGCTATGAGAATTTTTTTCCCGTTTGTTACAATTGGTGTGAAGGAGGGAAATTCTTGTGGCCTTGGCATTTGAGTTGGGAAAAGCCAACATGAGTGATAGATACTCCTTTGAAATTTGTATCAGTACTATGGAGTTACGAGGGTGCTGTGATAGCACAAGGTCATGTGTGTTTATTCAGTATTGTAAAGTCTTCTGAGGAAGAAGAGCTCAAGTGAGATAAAGAAAAGAGGCAAAATGAATTGGGGTCTCATATTTAAAATCAAATTTAGCTTCTTACAAACTCTTATATTAGGTACAAAAGACGGCTAAAATAATGATATTAGAGCAAGTCTTGTTCATGCTAATCTATAGGTTTAAGTTTTTGTTTAAATGCATGGATCCAAACATACGAAAAGTTTAAGATGTTGCATTAATTTTATTTTTAAATTATTACAAGTTCTGCATATATAGATCGAAGTTTTTTTTTTTTTTTATAAATTGTGGATCTCTTTTTACAATGTCAGAGTTAAGCTAAAATGTGTAAACTAAATTATTGACACCCATAAATGCAGAGAGCCTGGCAAAACTGTTTTTTTTTTTTTCAATATATAAATGAATGATTGCCAATCAATTCACGTAAGCCAACTCAAAAAATGACCCAAAAAAACATTCAAACATGCATAAATTCAAAAACAAATATTCTGGGGAAAAATTATCCAAGTACAAGATGTGATGGTTGTTTTTATAATGTCATTTCCACATCTAGAAATCGGGAAAAGCTAAACAAAAAAAAAAAAAAAAGAAATCGGGAAAAGTACTCGCATTTAGCCTTTTATTTGTTATCATGTTTTTTTTTTCTTTATCTTCTTTCAATTCTTTCCTTTCTTTTATTTAAAGTGGCATGTACCACTTATAAAAGAGTTTTCATATTATTATTATGTTACAAAGTTATGGGCCCAATTATTTTCTTTTTGCTAGAGTATAGGTATTCCCCTATTAGAGGCAATCTTATTCGAGACACTATCAGGCATTAAATATGAACACATTTCCCAATGAGGATTCGAATCTAATTCATCACGTTATGAGGGACTAGCCTTTTTTGCTAGATCCAATTCCTATTTATGGCCCAATTATTTTCATTTGTACCTGTTCGCAGTCATACAGTTTGTATTTTAATTTCACATGAGATTCCAGCCAACCCCCTTCGCATTGACCCATTGTAAACATAAGAAATTTCTTCTTATCTTCACTTTTCTGGCTATCTGAATGTTCTTTTCTTTTTATGTTTTCTATGACCGTGCATTGCACGTGGTGAAGCTTTTTCTTTTATTTTTTTTAAAAATAATCATTATGTTAAATTCTTCAAACATATGTAGTTATATGAGTTTAAAATTAAATGAACATATAAAAAATAGAATACATGACAAAGTGTGTTTAGAAGATTTAGCATAATGAGTGTAAAGAACCTGACCTGAGTTTAAATTTGTCCTCAGTTTGTGCCCTTTTCAGGTAAGTTAACACCCTTTTTTCCCCATAGGGGAGGATACCAATGCATCAATCACCCCTGCCCCAATCTTTTTTTTGACAACTTTAAAGATAGAATTACAATCAAATTAAAATTATAAAGACTAAAACATTAATTTTCTTTTTAAAACAACTTAAATTTTAGATTTCATACAAATACCATAGACAGCCAAATTACATAGGATGCAATGTTTTAAAAGCCGGGCCGGAGGTCGAGCCGGAAAAGGTAACGGGTCATGGTTCAAACGGTTAGATCGGTTGAACTGTTCGGTTAGACCGGTGATATAATAATTAAATTAAAAATAACATTATGTACCTATAATAATATATATGTAAGAAATAAATTATTAAATTATTACAATTTTAAGAAAATTAAATAGAAATAATATATATACATTTAACTTTATATTTGATAAAAAATTAAAAATTCATTTTATATAAAAATATGTAAATAGATCTTATATAACAATGAGACTAAAAATATAAATAAATAAGAAATAAAAAGCGAATATATATATTATATAAGTGAAATAGTAAATGATCATATTAAAAAAGATGAAAAGTCTTGTCAGCCTTCACGTGTTACTAGAAGTAAGAGTAAGGTGAATTTAAAATTTACTTCCTCCTTTCTAGCGAGTGATCAGAAGCTTGGCTCGTCCACTGCCTCTGCGACTTTTCTTCTCCTTCTTACCATCAACGTAGAACTCTGGATATTCTTTCTCTAACCAGCGTATCTTGCATCCTCCCAAATGCCATAGATGAAAGCTGCAACGACTAGAAATTATGGAGAAAAGAAGGGGAAGAAATTGTGGTTAGTATGGTTTATTTGGCTCTTCTCTTTATCCCCCCATCTTCACCGTTATCTCACGTTCCCTATGTTCTTCATTGCTGTTCCTTCTGCGTGTGGGACGGGAGGGGCAAGTGGAAGAATTCCTCTTGGATTCAGAAAATTTCAGATCTGTCCGGTTTTTCTAAAACCGCTCCGGGTTCTGGATTTACTCCGGTTTCCGGCTTAACCGCCGGTTTAACACGGTTCAAAACGGCTCAACTCTTCCTCCGGTTAAAACCTTTGAAACGAGCCGGTAAAAGGAGCGGGTGACGGTCGGACCGGTTGGACCGTTCGGTCCGGTTCGGCTTTCAAAACCTTGATAGGATGCTTCCTCCACTTAAAAATAAAATAAAATAGATCACTCATGCTCTCTCTCTCTAAAAGCAAACACTCAAAGCTTCCCACTTTTTCCCAAAAAACAGAAAGCTTCCCACTTTTGAGTATAAAATTCCATGCAAAGGTAAAGTTGTCACCAAATTTGAAAGTAAACCGGTGCTATGCGGATTAACATGCACGCACAGGTGGCTAAGTCGCCCTTTAATTTTTTTGGGCAAGCTTTTTCTTTTATTTTAAAAAAATAATCATTATGTTAAATCCTCTAAACATACGTAATTATATCTTCTATTTATTTATATAAATTTAGGATTAAATAATTACATGAAAAAAAATAGAATACACAATAAAGTCTGATAAAAAAATTTGACATAAGGAGTATACAAAAGTACAAAACCTGACCTGAGTTTTATTTTCTTTTCTATAAAGTTTATATTTTATTAGATATATATTTTCCATGATGTATACAATACAAAATACAAAAATTTGCAACTTTGGTTTTTAATTTTTAAAGATCTTTCAAATTATAATAACAAAAATATTTTATTTAATTGAAATAAATAAATTTGTAATTGCAAAATACTTTTTAAATGATCCAAAATAAAAGAAAATATAAAGACATACATCAAAAAGGAATTTATCTATTGCATATCATTCTCATTCCATCAAATGTAAAGACAATATCTATATATAAATTTACAATAAATCATTATAAGTTTTAAAATGTAATTTCTTATTAAATTAAATTTATGTATATTTATTTTTAGTTTTTAACATATTAATACTTTGATAAAGTAAAGATGTTAAAAAAATAAGTACAAGTTTAGAACTAGATAACTAATTTGGAAATATTAACAAAATTAATTAAATTGGTTTTTTTATCACAAATGTGTATTGGTCTCCTTAAATTAACTTTTTTTAATCATGTGGACTAGTTGATTTGAATTATTCCTTAGTAAAAAAATTAAAAACAAAATAAATTGAGAACTTATATTTGAAATTAAATCTAATCCTTTAACTAACTTTTATATTAAGCATCAGAGATAGTATCTTATTAGAACACGGGGAGGTGGTTAACTCCTTAGCTTAGTCTGAACATGGAATATATATATATATATATATATATTGACTTTGCGAAGGAAAAAAACCTTTACGCACTACTTAGTTGGAAGGTTTTTGGAGGGGAGGGGAGGGGAGGGGGAAAAATTGTTTTTTAGTACTCCCCTCCCTTTCAAATTTGGAGTTTTTTCAAGGAAAAAAAAATTATATCTCATCCCGACCAAATTATCCATATTAGTTTTTGGATATTCATATTTGTTTCTTTTTAGTAAAATTTTTTTTCACTCCTTTCCCTTTTCAGCCTCTACTATTCCTCTATAGATTTTTTTTTTACTCCTCACATGTTCTTTTTTTTTTTTAGCATATTTTCTTCTTCTGATTTCATCATTCTTCACACTCTCCGCCATTAATCTTCCCTGTCTTTTCTTCTTGCCTGTTCCCTTGCTTCATTTGTCTTATTAGTATTATCAGTAATTTGTTTTAATCATTTATTCTATATAAAGCTATTATTTATCGGTTTATATGGGTCGTTGAGATTCATTAGAATGATACTATCAATCGTCAAATTTGTTGATATACGTGTCTATATATCTATTTTAATTCAATTTCATTTTTTATACAAAATTATGTGTGTTATCTAATTAAGCATGTGAGGCTATGTATGTTATTTAATTAAAGATGGAATATTTTAAAGCTTGTTACATAAATTTATAGGAAAATTAATTTAACAATACTTATGGTTTCATCAAATTTTGAATTGAGTTCCTATAGTTTTTTTATTATTATTGAGTCCTTGTTTCTTAGTCTGTGAATTATCTCAACCCTTCTGTTAACAAAACTGTTAAATTAATTGATGGTGAATGACGTGGCAATTGAGCACACTGTTCTTCTCCCGTCTCCCTCCGCCTCTCTCTCTCTCTACTCCTCTCCATCTCCTTCGAAGTAAATTGTTCATGCTCTCCTTTGTTTGGCCATCTCTTTTCAGTGTCTCTTCTTTTGAAACAATACTTAAGGAACAGTTTACGTATCAGAATGTATCCACTTGTTTCCTAAATAACCTCTGAGAACAAATTTCACGGGAAAGCATTGGTCTCTTTTAACGCATAGACCAGTCAAAAAAATAATGATAGGAAGAAGAAGGAAAAAGGATCAAAATTTATTTCACTTATTGGCTAGCATGTGGAAAAGAAGGAATGGATAACGTTCCTAATAGATGACAGCAGCAAATTGTTCCATGAACATGAACCAATTTTTGGGTGTACGCGGAATGGGGGGACTAGCAAGAATAAAGCATCTAAAGCTTCTCATGGTTGCACTAAAATCATCTCTTAAAAAACCTCCCCCTGCTAACGTCTTTATATTTTACTTCGAAAGGGACTGAGAGGAGCTTTTTTTTTTTTTGGGGGGGGGGGGGGAGCTGAGGGAGGCGAAGAAGAACAATGTGCTTAGTTGCCACATCATTCACCAGCAATTAATTTAACGGTTTTGTTAACAGAAGGGCTAAGATAATTAACAATAACGACTCAATAAAAAAAAATTATAAGGACCCGATTCAAAATTTGATAAAACTACAAGGACTATCAAATTAGTTTTCTCTAAATTTATTTATAATTTATATAATATGCCAAATATTATAATACACTTCTTTTGATTGATATTTATTTTGATCCGTGATTATTTATAATCTATTTTTTATGTCTCAAGATAACTGATTTTTTTATATTTATAAATTAGAAAATAATAATTATGATAAAAATATTGTACTAAGATAATAAAGAAATCTGAATAAAGAGAGAACCACATATTTGTGGGCTTATAATTAGCCTCCCTCCTTTCTTTATAAACCGAGTAAGAAACATTTCCTCCTTTCCTGTCGTCCAACCAAACCAAACTCACAAGCTCCTCTCTTCTCTGCTGCTACCCATCCCCTTAATTAACTTCAACTCCCCCCTCCTCCATTAAACTAGACGAAGCCTCAGATTTCAAATCTTCTTCTGGAGATAATATTTTTTTCAAATAAAAGTTTATCAGCGACCCACTTGACTCATATTATACACAAAAAATTCTCCTTTTAAAAAGACATTCTATGTACTGTGTTTCGATTTTGATTCGATTCGATTCGATTCTCAACCCAAATAATATATGAAAAAGAAAAATCAAGAGAAAGACAACTGTTTTGATTCTGCGCGCTCTGTGCTCACCGAAAGTCCCTATGAACACAGACGCCTCTTTTCAAAAATGCCAAAAAACGCTCAATGCTCTTGGACACTCCCCGCGCCAAATCATTCTGGAACTGTCCCAATTTTTTTTTTTTTCCTGGGAGGGTTGTTATTAAATCTTAAGAAAGTAATATAAATATTTAAAGGTCTCAATTTATAATCCAACTGCTATATCTGAGTGATGCAATGTGTTTTTTTTTTTAGCAGCATTGATTGATGAAATGCTGATGGATTAAAATAAAAGAAAAATTCATTTTTCCGTATGCTAACATCTCAATTTCTAAATTTTGATTTGATATAATTCATACCCTAAATTTTTAACTCTTGAAATTCAATTCCTCCCCTCCCCTCCAAAATTGAGAAGATTTAAAGGGAAAAGACAATATTTTGTCATATTATGACTATTATACTCATATTTATTTTTAATATCTTTATACTACTCTAAATCCTTTTCTTCTTGTCTCCAGACCTGCTTTTTCTTTTGCATGACCAAATATTTTATTCAAAGATGGGATACAGTATAAGTTGTGACTGAACATTACTTCAGCCTTCTTTTTAATAATACTTCACGCTTTATATTAGAATTTTAGTATAAATATTGCTTAATTTATTAAATATTATTTACAATTTTATTTTATTAAACATTCTATAAAATTGGAAGAAATAATCTCAAATAAAATAAGGACAAAATTGTTCATGTTAAATTATTTTCCCCTCCTCTTCCTTCATGAACCAAACAAGGTAATATTAAAACTTCTTTCATCTTTTTTTTTTTATAAATCTAAATAAGATAATATTAAAATCCTTCCATTTTTTTCCTTTTTCTTTTTATTAAAATCTTTCTCTGTTTTTTTTTTCTCATCGTGCCAGACGGACCTTTTATCATTTATAATTTTGTCCTCGTTTTACGTCACAAAAAGACAAATTTTAGTATTCTCTCACTATCCTACTCTCCAGGATACCTGCTTCCAGCTCCGCCCTTGACGACATGTTCAATCCTTTTTCTTTCTCTCTTTATGGTTCTTTCTCAATCCGACAAGGTTTTAAGCAAGACACCTTAGATTTCTTCAATTTGATTTCCGCCCAAACAAAAACGAGCCACTTTCTCAGGAGGTACGCAAACGAAATTGATGGACCAGCTGCTCACAAATTTCCTACCATTTTCCATCCTTCTCTTCGTTGGAGGACCAAATGTCGTGGAAATTTCTCTCATTTGAGAATTCAAAACTCAGTTTCTTGATTCACAATTTTCGTTGTCACAGCCATGGCGATTCAAGGGGCAGCATCATCATCCCTTAGCTTTACCAAGTACAGATATGATGTTTTCTTGAGTTTCAGAGGCGAAGACACTCGCAAATCCTTCACTGTCATTCTCTACGAAGCTTTGCGCAAGAAGGGAATCAACGCCTTCATCGATGACAGGAAGCTCGGTAAAGGGGAACGAATCGCACCTTCGCTTCTTAAAGCCGTAGACAAATCCAGGATTTCTATTATTGTGTTCTCTGCAAACTACGCTACTTCCACATGGTGCCTTGATGAACTGGCTCACATCATTCGGTGTAAGAAGAAGAAGAACCAGGTGGTTATGCCAATATTTTACAAGGTGGATCCAATGGATGTCCAATATCAGAGAAATAGCTTTGAGGAAGCCATGGCTGCTCATGAAGCTGGGTTCATAAATGACCTGCAGAAAGTGCGAAAATGGAGGTCTGCGTTATTTGAAGCTGCTAGCTTGTCACCAGCATGGCTTTTCGAAGATGGGTATGTTGTCCTTTTAGTATTTTGCTTTCTTATCTGCCTTCTGCTGATGAAATTTTCAAATAATTAATGGTTGCTTAGCAGTTCATGGTGAATCCCTATAAATCTGCGCCTTACTCGTATGATTTTATCTGCGTATATATTGTCTTGGAGTTTTTAAACTAATTATAAACTAGAAAGTTGTTAAATATAAATATTTTGATTTAATTTTTAACTACAAATGTTATTTTTTTACCATGGGAATCAGAAAATTTTAGTTTATTTAGTAATTGCTGTTATATCTATATCATCATTGGATCTGTGAAATGTTGGAGACTAACAAATAATACTTCCGCACATCCAATGTGACATTGCTCTTCATAAACCATTCAGAAGATATTGGGTAAAGGTTTAAATTTGCCCTGAAACTTTTCAGTCATGAGCGCTAGCACTAAAATTTTTGTGTGCAAATTACTCTGGAAGTTTTCAATCATAGCAATTTTACCCCTTGTCACTAAAAATGTTAATGGTCAATATTGTTACGATTTTAAACTTTCAAGATAAATTTATATTCTAAAAGACTTTCAGGTGCCCATAATCACTCCTGTATGCAAATTTCCTGAGCAAATTGTACATTAACTCGAAGAGATTAAGCAGGTTATCTATAGTTAGTGAGAGTTATATTCTACTCTTGAATACAAAACTATTTTGCACATTCATATATGAGTATAGGATCCGTTAGCTTTCTGAATAAACTATACACAATATCACGTGTAGTAAATGGAGTTTGATCAATGAGTTCCACTTTTTATGACTTGTTCTAGTATTACTATTTTGGTTTTAATTTTCTTTTGGTCCGACTCTTTTGGATTTATCTAAATGGTTCCATCTGTGCAGCAAATGTTTAGAATTCTATAGCAGAAAGAGAATTTGCTTGTTTGCAGGTATGAATTTGGGTTTATTGAAAGGATTGTTGGAGATGTGTATGCTAGGCTTCCTCCTAAACCACACCATAATGTAGAACACATGGTTGGACTTGAGCCTCGGATAGATGAAGTGATCTCACTTTTAAATAAATCTGACAATGGTGTCTGCATGTTGGGAATTCATGGAACTGGTGGAATTGGCAAAACAACCCTTGCAAAAGCTGTCTACAATTCAATATTCTACCAATTTGAAGGTGCATGTTTCTTGTTTGATGTCAATGAGGCATCAAAAAAATTCCAGGGCATTGTTAATCTTCAACAAAAGCTTATGTCTGATATTCTTGAGGAAAAGATCCTGAGATTTTGTAGTGCTGATGAAGGAATATCTAAAATAAAACACAGACTCTCTCATAAAAGAGTTTTGTTGGTTCTTGATAATGTGGATGAGATTGAACAGTTAGAACGACTTGCAGGGGGGTGTGATTGGTTTGGTTGTGGAAGCAAGGTCATTATAACAACAAGAAATAAGCAATTGCTCATTGCTCATAATGTTAAAAGAACATATGAATTGATGCAGCTAAATGATCATGACTCTCTTGAACTCTTTTGTTGGCATGCCTTTCACATGAGCCTACCTCCAAAAGGCTACCAACAGATGTCTAGTTATGTGATAAGTTATGCAAAGGGCCTTCCTCTGGCTTTAAAATTAATTGGTGCCAATTTAGCAGATAAAAACTTAGAGGAATGGCGGTCTACATTGGAACAATATGATCGTATCCCAGAAAGAACAATACATGAAGTACTAAAGATAAGCTATGACTGCTTACAAGATGGAGCTAAGACTGTATTCTTGGATATTGCTTGTTTCATTAGAGAGGAGATATTAGGTTCTCTTGATGAAATAGTAGACTCTTCTGATTATGGTGTAAGGTTTTATATTGAAGTGCTTATTGATAAATCTCTTATAGCTGTTACTGATACTGGTAGTTTACACATGCACGATCTGATAAAACAAATGGGTAGAGAGATTGTTAGGAAGGAGGCACAATCAAATCCAGGCAAACGTAGTCGATTATGGAATTATAAAGATGTTCTTAAAGTATTGCATGAAAATTCAGTAAGAACCGAATTACTTTTTGTTTCCTCTTGTATGTTACATTTATTGTGCTATTGGGCAATATCTAACAAATGTTGCTTCTTTGGGTTTGCATTATAGGGAACTAGTAATATCGAAGGAATAATGTTTGATCCGCCTCAACAACAAGAAGTGGAGTGGAGTGGTATAGCATTTGAGAAAATGAATAATCTTAGAATCCTTATTGTCCGAAAGGCCCAATTTTCAACTGGTCCTAAATATCTTCCCAATAGTTTGAGATGGCTTGAATGGGAGGGATATCCTTCTACAAAATTGCCGCCAATTTTTTCCCCAAGCAAACTAGCTGTCTTCAAGTTATTCTGCTCTCCTTTCAAGTTGGAAGAGCCATTCATGGTACCTCTCTTTTTTTAACCTTTTATGTTTACCATTTTTTTTCAAATTTCTTTGGCTTTTATTTTCTTCAAAGAATCACGAATAAATTGCTTCAATTACCCTATTTTTCTAAACTTATATAAACCTCTTTCATCAAATATGCTCAAATCTCCTTGTTTTTTCCCCATAACATCTCTTATAATCAAAGTTAATTAACCAATTTGCCGTTTTTTGTTTTGGCAGAGATTTGAATATTTGACATGCATGAATTGCTCAAATTGTGAATTCATAACTGAAGTACCCGATATGTCTCAATGTCAAAGTTTAAGGAGATTGCTGTTTGAAGATTGTTACAATTTGATCAAAATTCATGATTCAGTGGGATCTCTCTCGAAGCTGGTTGAATTAAATGTTAGTGGATGCGTTAAACTTGCAAGCTTTCCCCATGAAATCAAGATGCCATCTCTTCAAGCGATTGATTTGAGTTTTTGCGAGAGTCTTGACTACTTCCCACATACAGTTGGAAACATGGATGCATTAACGTATGTTTGGATTGAAGAAACATCTATTAAGGAGCTCCCACCTTCCATTGGAAATCTTGCCCGGCTTGAATCTTTGAACTTAAGCTCTTGCAAAAGTCTTAGGGAGCTTCCAAACAGCTTATTCACGTTTCAAAATCTTGACTGGCTTGGTTTGGAAGGCATTCATCCTGATGGGAGAAAGTCTTTAAGGAAATTATTGCAAGAGAGCCAACCAGTTAGTAGCTGCACAAACGTACAGTTCTTGATGCTCCAAAATTGTTGTCTCTTGGATGAAGATGTTCAACTAACTCTGGATCTTTTCCGAAATTTGATAGAGTTAAATCTATCAGGGAATGATTTTGTGTCTCTTCCTGAGTGCCTTAAAGAGTGTGGTAAGTTGTTGAAATTGAATGTGAATAACTGCAAGTGGCTAAGAGATATACCAGGGTTACCATCAAATTTGCAGATAATGGGGGCAGAGAATTGCATTTCATTAACTCCAAAGTCATTGGGCCATTTATGGTCTCAGGTTTCTCGCCTACTTTTTTCTATTTTCTTTTTCTTTAGTTCCTTTGATGATTATTCAAATTAAATACAATTTCTGTTGATTTGAATTTTTTTAAAACAGTCTGCCTGTGCAAGTTAACGCAGTCCATAAAATTTCCCTTTATTCTCTTCATATATTGTTTTCAAATCTGAAAAATGTCTTTTGCCTCTGTTGTTTTGGTAAATCAGGCCAAAAGGGAGTTCTATGGCATGAGGACCATTTTCCCAGCAAAGTCATCTCCTGATTGGTTCCACAGTTGGTGTGGAGGAGGGAAAATGTCTTTTCTTGCTCGTAGGAATTTCCCTCATGTGGCATTTGCATTTGAGTTGGGGAAAGCCAACACGAGTAGGAGACAATCATTACGTTTTTCTCTGAGCATCAATGGTCGCATATTACAAGAGAGAAATGATCGTATCACAATTGCACCAGATCACGTGGCTTTATTTAATCTGGGAGTGGCTTTTGAGGGAGAAGACTGGAGGTGGCTTCAAAGATTCATGGAATTGGATTGGAATGATGTGGAGATACAAGCCATTTGTTTAACGCCAGAGATACCTGTGGTTAAGTGTGGAGTTTATGTGTACCAACGGCTAACAAACATGGAGAATATCCAATTCAAGCCTCCTTTGGTTTCCATAAATACTCCAGCAACTTCATTGAAACGAAAAGCCATAGCTTCTCCTCCAAATGCACCATCCAAGAAGGCCCTCAGAAAGCTCAAGACTACTGATAAAGGAAAGATCAACAACATAAAGAAAGGTTCAAGGTGTGCCTCTTCTTGATACTGATTGTGGTTTCAAGATTTCTGCTTATTATTAATTTTTCCATATCCGTGTATTGTAGGAGAAATCAACGACACCAATTGTTTCATTCCCGCCGCAAGAAAAGGATGGTTTTTCCAATGGGTAAGCATGTTTGGAGATTTTTGAACTGTTAGCAATTGAATATTACGGTTGATAGCCCATTGTTAGATGATGAGATGACACCTCTGAGCTGTTACGGTGTGTCCGGGCAACTGGCATGATCTCAGCTGCAAACTTAATATTTTAATTTGCTAGAGATTGAAAACTACATATGTGCAATAATCATGCTATGAGAATTCTTTTCCCTTCCGTGACAATTGGTGTGAAGGAGGGAAATTCATGTGGCCTTGGCATTTGAGTTGGGGAAGCCAACATGAGTGAGAGATACTCCTTTGAAATTTGTATCAGTATCAATGGTTGTCAAATACTACGGAGTTACGAAGGTGCTGTGATATCACAAGGTCATGTATGTTTATTTAATATAATAAAGTCTCCTGGGGGAGAAGTAGGAGAGCTGTGGAGTTTATGTGTACAAACAGCAAACATACATGGAAGATGTCCTGTTCAAATCTTCTGATCTGCTTTCCGTGAATATTCAAGATCTTCACTGAAACGTAAAACGGTTACTTCTCCTATTCAACCGTCCAAGAAGTTGCTGAGAAGATTGAAGGCAACTGACGAACGAAAACTCAATCACAGAGAGAAAGGGACAAGGGACAAGGTGAGGAGGATCAAATAGTATATAATGCTACCAGAGCAACTTGCATTATGCAAATGTACATGCTATCTATGGTTTTAAATTGTGTAATGTGTACATCCGAACTAATTGAATTAAGTCAAAACTATAGAAATTGAAATTAAATTGTAACAAGTAAAAGTTTAGCAATGGCATTACAATTAAGTTAAAACTATAGGAACCAAAACATTGATTTCCTTTTCAAATTGCTTATTTTTTAGATCTCATACAAATATCATAGACAGCCAAGTGACAATTCCAACAAGGATGCATGGCTACATGTCCATAGGATGCTTCCTCCACTTAAAAAAAATAATTCATGTCTCTCCCTTTTAAAGTAAACATTCAAAGCTTCCCACTTTTGAGCTGGGGGTGTAAAATTCCATGCAAAAGGTAAACGTGTCACCAAATTTGAAAGTACATAGGTGCTATGAATTAACGCGCTCGCACAGATGGGCAAGTCGACCTTTTTCTTGTATTTTTTTATGACCATGCAGTTTATATTTTATTAACATTTATATTTCTATAATGTATACAATGCAAAATACTGAAATTTTCAATTTTACTTTTTATTTTTAAAATATTCCGAATCATAATAATAAAAATGTTTTAGTTAATAATAATAAATACATTTATAATTCGAAAATATTTATTAAACGATGCGAAATAAAAAATATATATAAAGACATACATCAAACTATCAAAGTATTTTATTTATTGCATATGTCTCGTTCCATTACTATGTATAAAGACAATATTTATAAATAAACTTATAATAAATCAAATTATTTATAAACTTTAATATAAATTTATTGTTAAATTTATATATATAGTTTTCTAAGATATTATATTAATATTTTTAGAAAGTAAACATGTTATAGAAATAGGTGCAATTTTCAAAACTATTACTCCTATAGTCCTATGTACTCCCACGGATCCATTTTTAATTACCATACTGGAATAAGCAGAGAGGGCATTAACTTGTTAATTTTGTCTGAAAATGAAACTTTTTTTTTTTTACACTACATAAGATTTCAAATCTTGTTCTATTAATTGTAATAGGAATAATATTTTTAAGAAAAAGCCTGTAATTGACCCACTTGGCTCATATTATACACAAAAAATAAAATTTCTTTTGAGACATTCTATGTATTTGAAATTGGAGGGAGAATCATATTGGGAAAAGAAATATTTGTGTCTTTTTCCAAATAATATATGAAAAAGGAAAATAAAGATAAGGACATCAATGTCATTTGCACCTCTATTTAATTACTGTGCTTTTATTCTGCTCACCTAAAACGCAGACGCCTTTTTAAAAGGGCAAAAAACAAAAAAGAAAAAGAAAAGCTCAATGCTCTCGGCCTCTCTAAATCCGCGTCAAATTGTTCTGATTTCTGAAACTTTCCCGGCTTGTCGCCAATCCACTGCTCTTGGGTAAATTAATGGGAAAATCATACAACCTACTTTTAACTTAATTTGAAATATAATATCTAATTTATTATTTATAATTTTGTCGTTATCTTATCTTATGCAGTAGGAGTGGTAGTAATAATAATTAATAATGATAATGTGCTTATGTGACTTCCAGCGTAACTCCCGGTGTTTTTGTATTCTCTCTTAATCCTACTTTCCAGCGTACCTGCTTCCAGCTCCGCCATTAACGGCTGATTAGATCCCTTCTGTTTCTTTCTTTCTTCTTCTTCTTCTTCTTCTTTCTCTGTTTCTTCCTCAACCCGACGAGGCTTTAAGCAAGACACCACAGACTTCTTTTTCTTTTTCAGCCAAACAAAATTGATGGACCACCTGCTCACAAATTCCCCACCATTTTCCACCCTTCTCTTCGTTGGAGGATGAAACGTCGTGGAAATTTCTCTCGTTTGAGGATTCAAATCTCAATTTCCTGATTAACTATTGTCCTTATCACAGCCATGGCGATTCAAGGGGCAGCATCATCATCCCTTAGCTTTACCAAGTACAGATATGATGTTTTCTTGAGTTTCAGAGGCGAAGACACTCGCAAATCCTTCACTGTCATTCTCTACGAAGCTTTGCGCAAGAAGGGAATCAACGCCTTCATTGATGACAGGAAGCTCGGTAAAGGGGAACGAATCAAACCTTCGCTTCTTAAAGCCATAGACAAATCCAGGATTTCTATTATTGTGTTCTCTGCAAACTACGCTACTTCCACATGGTGCCTTGATGAACTGGCTCACATCATTCGGTGTAAGAAGAAGAAGAAGAACCAGGTGGTTATGCCAATATTTACAAGGTGGATCCAATGGATGTCCAATATCAGAGAAATAGCTTTGAGGAAGCCATGGCTGCTCATGAAGCTGGGTTCATAAATGACCTGCAGAAAGTGCGAAAATGGAGGTCTGCGTTATTTGAAGCTGCTAGCTTGTCACCAGCATGGCTTTTCGAAGATGGGTATGTTGTCCTTTTAGTATTTTGCTTTCTTATCTGCCTTCTGCTGATGAAATTTTCAAATAATTAGTTGTTGCTGATGGTTTTACACGCTTCATGGTGAATCTCTATAAATTTGGTTATTACTCGTGAGTTATCTGAGTATTTATAATCTTGAACTATTTTAAAAAAGTAATTATAAACTAGAAGGTTTTTACCATAAATATTTTAATTTAATTTTTAACTGTAAATCTTTATTATTTTTTACCACTGAAATCAGAAAATAATGTTTTAGTTAGTAATTGCTAATTTATATATCTATTATCATCATTGGATCTGTGAATACAAATTTATCTTGGACGTTCATATATGAGCAACGGATCCATTCGCTTTTTGAATAAGCTATACGCAATATCTTGTGTATTAAATGGAGTTTGAAAAATGAGTTACATTTTTTATGACGTGTTCTGGTTTTTTTTTTTTTTTTTTTGGATTACTTAATGGTCTATTCGTCCAGTAAATATTTATACTTTGGAGTTTTTTTAGGGGGAAAAAACCCTTTACATAGTGAATTGATATAAAGGAAAAAAAAATTAAATCTAATTGATATTGAGGATGTAATCTTTGAAGGATTCAATCAGATTTTACTTGAAGGAATTATCATAATAAAGACAAGTAGAAGAAGAAGACATTTTACATCAATTTTCTTCACAACAAAAAAAGAATTTGTTCTCTCTTTTTTTTTTTTTTTTTGTGTAGAAACGAATTTGGGTTTATTGAAAGGATTGTTGAAGCCGCGTATGCTATGCTTCCTCCTAAACCATACCACAACACAGAGCACATGGTTGGACTTGAATCTCGGTAGAGAAGAGTGATCTCGCTTCTTAATGAATCTGGCGTTTGCATGTTGGGAATCATGGAACTGGTGGAATTGGCAAAACAACCCTTGCAAAAGCTGTGTATAATTCAATCTTCTACCAATTTGAAGGTGCATGTTTCTTGTTTGATGTCGGAGAAGCATCAAAGAAGTTCCGTGGTATTGTTCATCTTCAACGAAAACTTTTGTCTGATATTCTTGAGGAAAGGATCAGGGATTTTGGCAGTGCTGATGAAGGAATATCTAAAATAAACACAGACTGTCTCATAGAAGAGTTTTGTTGGGTTTGATGATGTTGATGGGATTGAACAGTTAGAACGACTTGCAGGAGGGTGTGATGGTTTGGTTGTGGAAGCAAGGTCATTATAACAACAAGAGATAAGCAATTGCTAATTGCCCATAATGTTGAAAGGACATATGAATTGATGCAGCTAAATGATCATGACTCTTGAACTCTTTTGTTGGCATGCCTTTCATATGAGCCTACCTCCAAAAGGCTATCAACATAGTCTAGTCATGTGATAAGTTATGCAGATGGCCTTCCTCTAGCTTTAAAATTAATTGGTGCCAATTTAAAAAATAAAAATTTAAAAGAATGGAGGTCTATATTGGAACAATATGATCGTATCCCAGAAAGAACAATACATGAAGTACTGAAGATAAGCTACGACTACTTGCAAGATGGTGCGAAGATTATTTTCTTAGATATTGCTTGTTTCTTTGGAGAGGAGAGTGTGGATTCTATTGATGAAATAGTAGAAGCTTGTGATTATGGTGCAAGGTTTTATATTGAAGTGCTTCTTGATAAATCTCTTTTAGCTATTACTGAAAATGGCCACTTGTACATGCATGGTCTGATAAGACAAATGGGGTAGAGAGATTGTTAGGAAGGAAGCACCATCAAATCCTGGCAACCGTAGTAGATTATGGAGTTATAAAGATGTTCTTAAAGTATTATATGAAAATTCAGTAAGAACCTCACCATCTTATGTTTCCTCATTTACATTAAATTTATCGTGCTACTGGGCAATATCTAACAAATGCTACTTATTTGGGTTTGCAATATAGGGAAGTAATAATATTGAAGGAATAATGTTTGATCCACCACAACCAGAAGAAGTGGAGTCCAGTGGTATAGCCTTTGAGAAGATGATTAATCTTAGAATTCTCATTATTCGAAAGGCTCAATTTTCCAGTGGCCCTAAATATCTTCCCAATAGTTGAGATGGCTTGAATGGGATGGATATCCTTCTACAAATTTACCACCAAATTTTTCTCCAAACAAATTAGTTTCTTCAAGTTATGTCACAGTCATTTCAGGCTGGAAGAGCCATTCAAGGTACTTTGTTTAACCTTTTATATTTACCATTTTTCAAATTTATTTGGCTTTATTTTCTTCAAAGAATCAGGAGTAAATTAGTTCAATTATCCTTCCATTTCTCTGAAGTTATGCAAAAACCTCTTTCATCAAATCTGCTCAAATTTCTTTGTT